AGGTATTTAAACGAATGCTTATTTCACGGATCAATTAAATGTTTATTCGACTCAATAAATGGTCATCACTGCTTGTATTTCCTAATTCGAATGTCCAGTATTTGGTTCAGTTTCTTTCTTTTCGAGTTTTTCCTCTAAACAACTTTTCTTACAGACGTTAGGTCTCGTTCGAATCACGGTCGAACCTTGGTTTCTTTTCCATCATGTATCGATGTAGGTATGTATACGTTGCTCAATTATGGAATTCATACACTTTTCAGGTCTCTTCCCATTTGGTCTAGCGGTAGAACACTCGCCTTCGGAACATAAGGGCTAAGTTCGAACCACGGTCGGACCTTGTTTTTTTTTCGATGCGTGGAGTTTTTTAAATTTGAATCTTTTAGACTACTCTTTGTCTGCTTTTTTCTGTCGGTTTTCTGTCCACAGCATGGCAATTCTTTATTTTTTCATTTAGCACTTTCAGCAATAATTGAAAGTCGTAGTTTTTAAGTTTGCCAACTCTGATTTCTTATGCTTTTATGCTGAATTGAATACATATCTGCAATACTGACTTAGTTATCTCTTTTTGCGTCGTTTAAATTAAATTAAAATGTTGGTTGTTCGGCTTTTGTTTGTTCCAGAGAATAGGGTGAATAAACTTTGAATTTCAAAATTTTTTAGCTCAAATTTTTCTATGACATCATTCTGTTTTCGGCCGATATGGCGTCTACTCAAGTATTGTCTGCCAGGTAGACAATCAGCAATTGATTGTGAATGCTTATTTGGCGACGGTGATTGTTACTTCCTTCAAAATGAAGATCTTTCGAGACAAGTTTAGGATGTTTTCTAGTGTTTTTGAATCATTAAACATTCTTCGATTTAATTGCTTCCGTCTGATTTTGTCTGAAAATTTACTATGCCAACTTTGTTTTGTATCGGAAGCGTTGAAAAGCTCCCGCTCTGTGTATCAGTTTGACATTTGGCGATGATCTCGATAACATTCTAAATAAAAGTATTCAATGTTTTTTTTTCGTTTGGGTCTATGGCTACCTAAAATTTTCTGACTAACATTATCTCAACCTTTGTTACAGCTTTACAATTGTCCTCTTGTTGGGGTTCGTTGTTGCAACTACACCCGCTTAAATTCAGCTAAGTGCTATGGGAAGAAAAAATGGTTTGGCTTGGTTTTGCTACCCCTGTTGTTAGGCATCTGAAGGAAAGCTCATATGCGGTCAATTATGATGTCATATTAAAGCCCTTTTAATCAAGACGAAGTTTTGTTGCACAGAGGATTGAGAGAGAGTGCACCTCCTATATAACTCTACTGTTTTGAAAACTACTATTCTGCTGTTATGAATAGTTGTAGATTATAATCTAATTGAATAATCAAAATTGGAATTGAAAGAAAATTGCAAGGAAGTAATTTCAGGATTGTGAGGCTCTGCCTCGCGACAAGTGTCTCATTGTCGAGGAAAACTGGTCCGAATATCTTTAGTATCAATATAAAATTTCGCAATTTGAATATAGACTGATTTCCAAATTTCATTCTCCTTGTGATTTGACGCTATTTTAGCTTTTATGACTTGGCATTTTTCACTTAATTCTTTTGCTTTAACTATAGAAAAGTAACTGGAATTTTTACAAAAGTTATAGAAATATTATGTTATAGAAATATTATGTTATTTTTCATAACTTATTAAGGTCGGAATAATCTCCGGTTTCCTTGTGAGTTTTACCCCTGCGATACGCAAGGGCAATGCAAACGGGTACTTTTTTTCCCGTAAATAACTTAACTTTGTACAGAGAATGGGCAAACGGTAATCAATCTCAACTGTTCAATATCCACCGATGAGGCAATATCTTGGTCAGTGTTTTATGAGCTTATGTCGCTTGAGAACAAATTGAGAGTTCTTGTAAAATACTTTTGTTTCGGTACCAAAAATTTTTGGTTGATTTTCGGCGCTGCAGGTTGTCCGGCCTTAATTCTGTCGGCTTATTTTCCCAATGGTTGTCTTCTTTTGTTTCGTGGATATTATATGACAATGATTGAGATCGCACAAGAATTGTTAAAAACTGGAAGCCAACGTCACAGACCCTCCAAAAACGTCAATTAAATTTAATAAACAAGAAAAAGATTTCAGCTTTTAGTTAGTTGACTTTTTAGTTTGTTGAACAACTCTGGTCAAAACATTTTTAAATTTTAGTTGTGTAACCGGCTTTAGTTTTCATGTTTTTTTTCTGGTGAGGTAATTGTGCTCGTGAGTTTTTCGCCTAGTTTTTTGTGTATCAAGTTCTTCGTCAACAGCTGATTGTTTTTCTTTGTTTTTGTTGCTTAAGCTTAAATTATTTGGGAGTGTATCCGTTTATTTTGACGTGTCTGAGATTAAGCAAGTATTAAGTGCTATTAAATCTAAAAACAGTAGTAAAATAATTTTGCAATTAATTTGGTCAAAACTCTAGAAGAATTTTTTGTTTTGAACAGTCATCTTGAGTTGATTTGTGCTGTTTTTCCGAAAAAATGTTTGCTTTGATTTTGCATAGCTTAAATGTTTTAAAATAGAATAGCAACATCGTTTTTTGATCTTAGTTTTAATCGAGCTTTTTCTGGGCACTTTTGAACCAATCAAAAATAAGTTTCAGATTAAGATATTTTCGGAAAGTTTTTTGGGAAAATTTTTTTTTCAAATTAAGTTTCGATTTTTTACTTTTTATAAATTGAATGATTTTATACGCTAATTCGTTTTTGGTTCAAAAAAGATATGTAGTTGTGATTAAAAATGTTTTTTTTTTATAGAAATATTGGTTTTTGGATTTTTTTCCATCTTTGTGCGATTTACACAAGCTTTCATCGCTTGGCTTATGAGCAATTTAATGTACTGCAGCCCAGATAGTTGAAACTGATCTAAAATTGTTGCTTGTAGATTTTTTTTTATTTAATTGCTGATAGATGATTAAAAAAAACTCAGAAAATCCGTGATACAGAATTTTCAATTTTTTCCGATTTTTTATTTAAATTTTCTGCATCGCAAGTTGTCGGAGGCTCGGCCTCTCCTCTGTATTTGAATTTCTTTTGTTTATTTGCACAGTATCCAAACTACTCGCCTTAGCTTTGAGAATTATTTGTTCAGTTTTGGTCTCTCGGGAGGAGTAATCTAAGCATCTTGGAAATTAAGTTCGCCCATCACAGCCCTGAGCAAGATCTTTTTGTACCTCGTCGCCACAAACTGCATATATCAGGCTAGAAATTTGCCAAATTTGCTCTGAAAGACGCGAGTTTTAAATATACGGCTGCTAATTGTTAGCTTAAAGAACTAAAAATCTGGAGTCAAATTCAATATCAGTGCAACTAGGTGACCTAAAAGTTAGGATAGAGAGCAGTGGTTGTTGAAGAATGAACGAGAAAAGGAACATGAGTGACTTGGCAGACTTGGTGTCAAAAAGTAACAGTTAATTAGTCAGTTTATCAATACCAGCTCAATTCAAATTCATTTGCTTGAAGAGAAAGGCAAATAGCGCGTTCGAATAACAAAAATTCAACTGGCGGAAAAAACTTGAATATCATGTAGTTTCGAAAGTGGACCTTTAATATTGCATTTCGAAGCGGAATCAAAAAAATACCTGGATGCTCAGTTTTTTAAAGTTTAAACAGCTTTAACGTGTTTTTTTCGATTCTTGAAGAGTTAAAAAAATTGTCAGTAATTTCTTGATTTTTTGAATTTTTAGTTGTAAAAGAACGAAGGGAGTTTCACTTATATAGGCCTTGATGATTTTTTGTTTGTTTTTTTTCTTCAGGAAAAGTTTCCAATGCTCTAATAACTACAGAAGTTCATCGTTCATTTTAATGAATATATGAATGCTTTTAATCACCAGCGGATTTGGGGAGGGGTGGAAGCGAACGCCCCTCCTCAGAAATTAGACTCATTGCTGATCCAAAGGCTCCCCTTTTACTTATTTTAGATTTTCCCTATTGGCCTTAATTCTAAAATTTTTCTAAAGGCGAGGTATGACGCCTGCACAGTTTTTTTGTCAAGTTTTTCCAAACAGTGCCTAAAAAAGCCTTTTTCGGGTTTTTTTTATAATTTGCCTACGGTGTAGAGAAATTGCCAAAAGAGGGTCTTTTTAGTAATTTGCCCCCCCCCCGCTCGTGATAATCCTAGATCCGCGCCTGCTTTTGATTATGTGCACTTTTTCAGTTCAGTTCAGGTTCATGTGCCAAAAGTTGGGCAAATTGCGCTCTCCATTTAGGAATTTATATTAGATTTCCCAGCGGAATATAAATTTAAATTGTTGTCTCCGTTTTCTCAAATTGGATTAGCTGAATGAAAAAAGTTTCCATCATGAACGATTCTCGAAATTGAAAGATTGAAAGAGCTTGAACGTGATGTACATTTTTTTTCATAAATTCGAAAGTTGAAAAGTCTTCAAAATATGATATTTTTTTTGTTTTGGGGTTATTGAGCTTATTGACATTTTTTACACAATCAGAGCTTGTGTTATAGTATGAACTATCTTTTTTCCAACCTAAGTCGCAAATATTGTTGCGACACAAATATTGTTGCGAATAAATGTGTTCATTTTTAAAGTGTTCATTTAGATCAATAACCAGCTATTAAGTACAGGCAATGCTTAGGATATTAACACAGATATTAACAGAGTATTTGTGCTCGGGGTGTTTTTTTTCGAAAGACAAATTTCAACTTTTTAGCTAGCCATATTTGACGGGATTTTTATATATCATTCAAAAAGTATTATTGTCCTGATCGTTTTTCGTAAAGTTATGTGGGGGTTTAAAAGTTGCCATTTTGGCCAATTTGAGACATTTAACGCGCGAAATATTACGCTTGTGTATGCGAAATGTTATGCTTGTGTATGCGAAGTGCAACTTTGTCGGCGATATTAAAATCTATATTTATTGATTTATTTGGTCGGTACATTCATAGTTAACTTGCACAGCTAGATATTTTTGTTCATGCAATCCATGATGGCTGAGTATGGAGTTTCCATGTATGTCATTCAATTTTTTTTTTAGATGAATCGTGAACCTGCAATCAACGATACTTGTTATGTTAAAATTGTCCGTGTCCAATCTCTCCAATATATTTGCGGATATATTGGAAGTCTTGAAGATTTGGCAGAAATAAACAAAAAACTACATCAAATTGATCAAGCTGCCCGAAAATTGGTTGCAATCGACTTCTTCGAAGATAAAAAAAAACCGCATGTTTTTGCTTTGTACAAAGGAAATTTCTACCGCGGAACGATCGTGGAAAAATTTGAACCTAGTTTCTTCAATGTGAAATTACCAGATCTGGGATTGTTTGTTCGGTTACATAGTAGCCATATGGTCAATGATCCAGACCCTCTCTCGGTAAAGGATTTCTACCCTATTTGTTATTTCACTCAGAGTTGCTACAGGAAATCGATCGGATCGTCGCCTGCAAAACAGTCTCAATTTAAAGATATGCTGAATTATTTAGTTTCAGAGGGACTCCCACCTGTACCATGTCTTGTCGAAAGTAAGTCTAAAGACATTTTCACTTTGAGAATGTGTGTTTACGAAAAATCTGATTCAAATTACACACCACGTCACAGGTTTTTTGACGTATTGAATACAATTCCAAAGGATGAATCAATAAGTCGCCATTTAAATGATGGATTCTTGTTTGTCCATCCGAGAATCAAAAGCAAAACGGAGCCAAGTAACGCATTTTCTCATTACACAAAGTCAGTAGCGTCGGCAATCGTCCAAAATCATCCGCAGCTGCAACCACGAGCGAAGAATATCAACAACTACCCAAGTATCGATTCCAGACAGCTTCACGATGTCAATAACAACGTGAATGAAATAAAAGATGACAATTTTACGTTCAGCGTGGGAAAAAACTTACAAATCGAAGTAAAAAATAATCATTACTACTCGTACCGAACTGTCAAAGATACTCCTCGCGACTCGCAAAATGATGTGCCTTGCAGCTCAAAATCCAATAAAAAATTGCCTCCTGACCAGCAAGAAGCAAACCACTGCATTGCAGTAGCTGAAAAGGATTATAAAGCAGATTCAACAGGTAGGTGATAGCATATTTGGTTCATCTTTTTATGGCATCTGTTCATACAAAGCTGATTTAAATTATTCGCTCCACGGCAAATAAAATCGGAAATTTTAAACGCATTTTTCTGGAATCAGATAAAGTTTAGACGAAAAAGGGTTGGATACAAAAGTCTCTTAAAAATTAATGGGAATTAACACGGTGCTGTTAGTTCTGCGAAGTTCGGGACGAACTTGTCAGCTAGAAGTTTGTCTTTGCGAAGCATTGTGTTAGTTTACGAAGTCCATTTTTCCAACCTAAGTCAGAGATAAAAGTGGCCAATTTAGTGGTTTCATTTTGGCTCATAGAAAGTTTTTATTGTTGCTTTTTCTTTCCCTAGTTGTCTCTTTTGTCCTTTTTTGAGATGTTTATGCAGTTTTCTCTCTTGTCTTTGAGAAGTACAGCTTCACCTCTTGTTTACAAGAACGAAGTTTAGTACGATAATAAGATGCAGGTTTTTTTTCCCACCCAAGTTGCAAATAAAAGTGCTACTTTTGATGGCACTGTTGAATGAGTAGGCTGCATTAGCATTATAATTCCATTGAGTTTGACATTTGATTAGTAATAAATTGAGGCTTTATTACTCCATCAATTAAACCGAAAAACTAATTGTTTCCTAGTAAAAATTGATAATTTAAATCGTATATCAGAAATTTTCCAGCTCACTATGCTTCGAGATTTTTGCAATGGATAAATTATACGCGATTTGGTTTAGTACATTCTAATTTATTAAATGCAAAGTTGGTTGCCTTTAGTTCCAAATTTTTAAATGCAAAATTTTATGTTTGATGCATTTTAAGAAGGCGGAGCAATAAGCTGAATGGTTCAAAGAGCATAAAACCAGAAAAAAATTTTCTTTTTTTAATTTATACGGGCTAATTGATAAAAAAAAGTTTTAAGCATCGTCAATAATACCAAGAAAATGAATAATTTATTCATGAATTGAATAAAGTCATCGAGTTTTTTTATTGAGTTTTTTGAAAAGTCTCGAGTAATTTATTCAATTTATGCATTAAGTTTTTGTTTCTCTTGTAATATTGACAAGTTTTATCTTTAATTTACCGATTAGCTAATCAAAACTAAAATTTTTCTGTTTTTCTGATCTTGGACCCATTCTGCTTTCAGACCATTCTGCTTAGTGTCTGGCCACCGCCTTTTAAAGCTTCTGAATTTTTGCCGCTTTTTCGCTCGTGTTTGCGATTTTTCAGCTTCACCTCTGTGTTTCGGTTTGTGCTTAGCAATCGTTGTCAAATCGGGTTATCTTTTTTTTAGGTTAGAGCTTGTCTCTTGTCTGAGAAAACTACCGAAATAGTTGATAGCTTCATCTATACTCAAACTTAGTTAACCGTATGATTCTGGTGCAGAGATACCGTCCATGCTTTGGACTATGAAAGTCCTGTTCTGATCTGTACTTAATGTAAATTAAAATGTAGAAAGTATAACTTTTGTTCGCATATTTATTTTTTGTCAGCTTAGATGCGACCGACCGTAGATTATATCAAGTGTCAATGACCGTATATAGGTCGAGTTAGTGTTTTTCAGCTGAAAGTTTTAGAATGCTGTAGTAAGTAAAGAATTACTTTCGTAGTTTTAATAATTCATTTATGAATGCCATAATTTTTTTGCACATATTAGCCTAAATTCATATTCATTTACTAATCCAACGCAAATTACATTACGCGCTCCAACTATGAAACCTTAAATAGAGCAAAAAATTGAAATTTAAGATATCCAAGCAGAATAAGTTTTTATCTGGATTATGTTGTAATTTTAACAAAAACGTCCAACAAAATATTCTTGAAATTTGGCGGGCACATTCCTTTTAGTTTCGATTTTGAAATTTAGTTTTTCTTAGTCAATTAGTTTTCATTCAGTTCATATAATTTTTCCAAGTAACCTTTTTGTTGCTTAGTAAGCCGGAACATACTTTTTTTATCCTGTAAACGTTTTGTCTAGCAGTGATCATTGAATAAATTCAAGTTGAATTTTTATTCTAAACATTTGGTCTAAAAGATATCTTTGGCGGTGTTGAAAAAGGTCCCGCATTCGAATCTAGCCAAGACTTTTTACACTTCGGCCTTCTGTTTCTCTGCTTACTTTTTGTCAGTTCAGTTGGCACAGCACGGATTTTCTTATGATATATATTTTTTTGTAATGGAAAATGCTTCAGTTGCGTTCCTATAATGGTGCAGGCAATTGACTTTTTACGAAAAAGGTTAATTTTGAAAAGTAAAGTTTTTTCAGGTGATTTTTAAAAGGTTTTAAAGTTTTTTTGTTACCTTCCTCCCAGTCACAAGGTTACAATTTCAATTTTTCTTTTCTAAATAGTTCAAAACTTTGTTTTCATGATTGAACCGGATATTTCGTCATTACAGTGACTAAAAAAGACATATTCTCTTTTGATAAATTTTTATATGGTTCTTTTTTGGCACTCTGAATCAATTGTTTTTGTGATATGGTGACTGAAGATTAGTTGGTTGCTTTAACATGTTATTGTTTCTGTCGACAAAGTTAGCCATTCGTTAGGTTGCGTGAAGGGTTTTTGCAGACCTGAAGGCGATATGTGGACGATGTTAAATTGAAATAGCCTTTAGTTTTCTTGTGATTATTTGCGGGAGGGTCTTTGGATGGATTTTAATGAATAGATATCCCAGCAGAGGGAAAATTTTCATCTGAATTTTTGTTGCTCACTAAACCGGAACATACTTTTTATCGTGTAAACAACTTGTCTAGCAAAATCACTGATCACTGAATAAATTCAAGTTGTGTTTTCAAGTTTAATTCTACACATGTGGTCTAGAAGCTATCTTTGGCGGTGCTGACAAAGGTCCCGGGTTCGAATTTTGCAAAAAGTTTTTTTTACTCTTTGGCCTTTTGTTTCTCGCTTATTTTTTTGTCAGTTCAGTTGACAAAGCTCTTCTTATGATTTATGTTTTTTTGTGATTGAAAATGCAGTAGTTGCGTTCCTATAATGGCGCACGCAATTGATTTTTACTCTTTTTTTCGAAAATTGGTGATTTGGAAAAATAAAGTTTTTTTTTGATCTGAGGTTTTTGAAATTTTGTTTTGATGATTGAATCGAATATTTCGTCATTACAGTGAGTAAAAAAGACTTAATCTTTTTCCAATAAATTTTTGTGTCGTACTTTTTTGTCACTCTGAATTAATTTTTTTTTGGTGAAATGGTGACTAAAAGATCAGTTGTTTGCTTAAACATGTCATGGTTTCTGTCGACAAAGTTATAAAGGCATTAGTTTGGTAGCATGAAGAAGTTTTGCAGAAAACAAGTTGCGCAGACCTGAAGACGAAGCGTGAACTACGTTAATTTGAAATGGACAAATAGCTTTAAGTTATCTTGTGATTATTTGCAGGCGGGTTTTTTTTATTATTTTGAATAGCATTGTAATTGCTAAATTTTTTTGCTTGAAGTGTTAGTTTAGCTGCCAGTATCTTAAAGCATGGGTTGTTTTATTTTTGTTATTAAGGGTAAAAGAAGGAATCTTATAAAAAAAGCTTGTAATTGCTATTTTGTTTGAAGATTTGGTTTAGCTGCTGGTAACTTAATGCATGAGCTATTTTGTTTTCGTTGGGGCTAAGTCTTTTTACCAGACCGACCTTTTACCAGACCACAATGCAATAACTCTATTAGTATAAGTTAAAGTTAATGTAAGATTTGAAAAGGAAGCGGCCAGAACAAACAAAACTTTGTTGAAAAACCGTGAAAGCATTGTCTTTAACCAGACTAAACGGCGTCATTACATCTGTCAATCAAATTTGTTTATCGAGTCTGGTAAAAGGTCCATAATATAATTTTTCTGGTAAAAGGTCGGTCTGGTATAAGGTCGGTCCCCGTTTTCGTTATTAAGTGTAAAAGAACGAAGTGTAAATGTATCTAAATTTATGAATGCATTTAGATATATATGCAATTCTAGAGTTCAATTCAAGTTCATGTTCTAAAAGTTAGCGAAATTGCGGTCTCTAATCACGAAAGCGGAAATGGCGCGAAAAAAATAGCGTGAATGGTTTTTAGTTTTAAAAGAAAACTGTTTTAATGTTAAGATTTCCCAGCGGAATTAAAAATTTTCCCATTGATCCAATTTTCTTAATTTGGGTTAATTTAATCAAAAAAGGTCAATCAATAATTGTTCTTGAAAGTCAAAGAGCTTAAAGCTCTTATATTTAATTCTTTGGAAGTTAAAAAATTGTTCAAAAATTTCAAATCAGAGTCTTTTTTTCTTGTTCTTTTACGCTTTTCCAACCTTCTGTTTGCAATGTTTGTTTTACTTTTGCACAAATCAGTTGAATATGCTGCACAAATTTTTGCAAGATCTCACCCTTATATTTTTTTGGCAAGATCTCCACCCTTGTTACGTTGACTTTTCTTGTGTTTTTATTAGTTTTTGGAGCAAAGCAAAGAGTTCTGTTTGTCAAATGTTTTCACGCAAATGCCATTTACAGATTGCTGTGCTACGCGGCTGGATAATGTGAGGATAATTTTTAAATAACCGTTAAATAATATCTAGCTTAAAAATCTCCCTTCTGTTATTTGTTGTTTTCTGTGAATGTGGGTCAATTTGTCCCGCGTCTGACTTTGAATTTATTTTAGGAGCAGGGCCAAGTTTTCGAGCAGGGTTCAAGAAAGTCGAGGAGATGGCGTCCACCTTGGGAATCTCTGACAGTCTGATGCTGTTCTACGATAATGATCTAAATGACGAAGTTATCTTTAGTTTCGATAATTCTGACTTCTTATTTGACATCCTGCAATCGCACGGTGTCTCTCAAGACAATTTGTCATGGATTCTGGACTATGTTTCTAACGTTAATTTGTAAGTTGAATTCTAATATTTTTCCTAAAAATCATAAGGAGACAGTCTTTTAGACCAATTAGTTTAATTCAAGGTCTCTTGTCGAGGTTTTCATTGTTTGGTAAGCGCTAGAAAGCATTACCTTCTATAATAGAATTATGGACGCCTTAATTTTGATTGGCCTTGTTTTTTTCTAGATCTCTGACTTCGCCTGGACATTTGGAGGATTTGCAAAATGACCATCAAAATACAGCTATTGAGGCTGTTTAATTAACAGAAATACTGCAATAAATTTGGAAATAAACTATAGTTTTAGTCATCAGTTTTTCTTTCTCTTATTACTTGCTTAAAATTTGTTGAAGTAAATTTTTTCTCTGAAATTTGATTGACGCTTGTCTGTAATTTTTTGATTTGATTTGTGCTCATCAGCTTAATTCTCTTCGAAGTTCATTTTTTTTGCAGCCAATACAAACCAATTTTATTGGAACCAATTTTATTGCCGTACAAAATAAAATAATCTTTTCTGCCTGTAGATTTTTCTGCTCTAAGTTTCTGAATTTTTTAGACCTATAGATGAACTCTTATCTGACTCAGTATTTACATTTTTTCAAGCAAACACTTGCGCAAGTATTACGATTTTCATTTTCCCAACCAATGAAAGAATTATCTAAATTCAGACGACCAAAAAATTGTTCGGATTTGAAGGCAGAAAAGAGCATATTCCAATCCTCAAATTTCATATCAGAAACTAGATAGTTTTCTTGGAGTCTCTTTATTGAATGATCGGTAGTTCGGATTGATTGTGAGCGGTTTTTAATATTGACTGGTATCATTTTTGTGGTGCTCTGTTAAAAATGCTTCAAAAATTTCATACATATATTAGAAATTCAAGATTTCTCATTATTTGATAGTATTTTGTTCTTTCCTGCTTTAGATCTTCCAATTCTCATTTTGAATAGTTATTCTTGTTTCATCAATATAGTTAACCTACACCTGTTTTTTTTACTTGTGCGAATGTGAAGTTCCTCTCGTGTTGTGGCTTACGTTCGCAAGAAATCGACTCTCGTAGCTAGTAGTAGATGTTTTGAAGCGGAGTAGGGATTTCATCGTGGTTTTGAGACTTAAACTACCCAAATTGCGCGTCTAAGAAGATTAAATTAAGAACTTGTTTACCCTTGCGAGAAACAAGGTTATTGCAATCGGGTACTAGACCTTTTTTCCCGTAAGCAACTTTCTTCACAGAATGGACAAAATGAAATGGAAGTCATGTCAATAGCACCTTGGCTAGTGTAGTGCGTAGTATTTGCATATTAGGAATGGAATTTGGGTTCCTGTTAAGAGTTTTTTTTAGAATATTTTCTTCTGTGTCAAACTTTTTCGGTCGAATTTCAGCGCTGGAAGAGGTCGTCTTTGATTTATTCGGCTTGTTTTCCGAATTGTTCTTTTCGATTAATTTTTTTTGCTGTTAGCTGGGAGTGATTCATTTTTAATATGAATTTTTTGAAAAGTTTAAATCAACCTTAACACTTTTCAACATTTTTTTTTCTTAGTTGAAGTAACAAAATTGATTCAAAATTTTGTTCTTGATTGTTTGATCGGTTGTATTTATCGCATTCTTCGTGGTGCAGATAAAATACCTCATTAGTTTTTGCATAGTTTTCAAGTTTTTTTTGACATTTGATTTTTAATTTTTTTCTCGTCGGATTTGTACCTTTGAACACGAATCAATTCTGAAGTCCTATCAAATCAGAATTAGAATTAAATGAACTCAAAGTTTTTGGTATTTTTGTTCAAAGTTGCTTGGCGCATTTGTTGTTCTACTGTCTGCTACTTTTCCTGATTGACTTTTAGTTTTCCTTTTTTTTAAGTGTTAATGTGTTTAAATTGTAACAAAATCTTGACAAAACAACTAAAGCAGTTATGCGCCATATTAGAAATTTTAAGAATAGCAAAATTACCATCTCAAGGCTAATATATAGTAAGTCATCGAAGAATCATAAAAAGTTAAGACCTATCCCGTGATCAAACTTTCCCATTCCATTACTATCTCGGACCATTTGGCTTTATTTTCTGGCACAAATTACAACCATCTCTATCATTACAGCCATAAAACCACAAATATCATGCATAATTCTTTTCTTCAAACCAGGTATTGATCTGGAGAAATCACAAAGCTTCCGCCTGATTGCACTAATATCATCAAATTAGTAGAAAAACTATTCTTATCTGAGCAACACTGAGAGATACATTTATCAGACAATTAATACGGCTTTTTGAAAGCTTGATCGACGGTGACTGCACTTAATTGTTATAATCATGATCATGCGGAAAATAAAATCATTAAAACTACGCCAAAGAACCCTTTTGGTAGCAGTGGATCTCACAACAGCCTTCGACACATAGCAAATCACAGCGTCCTTTTTGATGAAATAAATAACTCAGACAGTACAAATTTTACCAAGCGTTGGCTCTTATCCTATCTATAAAGCTTTATTCATTTTGCAAGTAGAGGCACAAAATCTAGCATTAGAAAAGTTAAACACAAGAAAAAAGTGTAGGCGAGAGAAAAGTTGTTCTCTCGCCTACACATATGAACCTATATCTGAGTCCAGGCCTGAGCCATAGGAAATTGTTAAGCTAATTATTTATGCTGATCACTTAACAATTCGAATTTGGGCCCACAATTAATTGAGTTTGGCCTACCAATGAACTTAACCAAACTCAAAAAACGACTTACTGAAAACCTGGCAGTTTTTTTTACTTGAAGACAAAATACATGGCAATTCTTTTTACTTCTTGGTATGCCGAAGTAAATTTCGAAACCAAATCGGTATTGGAGGGTGCCGAGTGAAAACAGCAAAAAAACTCAAAACCGATAGCATGTTCTTATTTGGAACCAATGCACTCAATTTTTTGCGCACGAATTTAGGCTAGAGAAACCATCTCAAAGTATGAGATAGGGATAAAGCATTCAGTCGTAGCGTGATGAACTACGCCGCAACCCCCTAAACTCCAAGTTTAAGCAACACCAACTGGTCAAAAACTGTCAAACAAAACAACTTTTAGAACTATAAATGGCTATGTTATAATAACGAGCATAGATCATTTACACAATGAAATTAAATTTCCGAGTGCAAAATAAAACGCTTGTCTATTAGTTTTTTCTCGGAAGCCATCTTCCGAAGCGTGCTGACTTTTTAAACATTAAAATCAAACAGCAGAATCATACTGAAAACAATACGGAAGAGGGAAAAATAAGAACAAGAAGATTACGAGCTGATTCTGTTCTTTTATTTGATCAATGCAAAATAGGCCTCACACATCTGTTTTCTTCAAATCAGTTGTGAGGCTAGATACGCACTTGCACAGCCGTGCTCCGGATACTCACCCATCTTGAATAGCTACCTAAACAGGATTGACCCAAAATTAGCTAATACTTGCCTTGTTTGCAATCTAGGGGCGAATGATGCTCATCATTCATTCAACTGTCTAGGCAGACTGACAGATCTCAGTATCCTCAGGCTATGAGCCAATTCCCTTAATGCAGCTTAAAACATTCAGCTCGCATAGCCTGAATGAGTAGGAGATCTGAACTCCCTTGATAAGATTGATTAGCTTGACGTAGATTGCTGACCTCACAACTGCACAACAAAACTAGATATCAATTCAGACTAGTCCAGTGTTAAAACGACGTCCAAGTAACCCGCGCTAGTGAGGGCCTATCCCATCAGGGGCCAATAACCTTGGACCATGGAGGAGACCAATTTTTCTCCGTTAATCGAAATAAACGAACCCAATGTCGACAAGAGTCAACGAGGCATCAGCAATAACAACAACATAAAATCAGTCACTTTTCTAATGTTAATGACCAATTCCCAGTTTTTATATGTTAATCAAAGGTTTGAACTGAATGATCGGCTTTTTGATTGTTAAAATTCAGTTGCTCTGTTTTCCAATGTTTCTGAACGAAGTGATCTGTTTTCTCGTCCTTCAGTTGTGCCTCCATGATTTGTGTCACTTTATTTTTTATCTTGAAATTCTAGGAGCTATGTTGACTTGAGTTCAATAGAAACTTTTTCTATCCGGCAAGCAAAAACTGCTTTTTTTAAATATAAATAGTTTAAGAAAACTACTAAGAAAAATGTAATCCACCGATGATTTTTCAAGTTGCATTCGTTTTTACCACAATGGCGATCATGAACATTCAAGTAGTTAAGGCGAATTTAACTTAATTTTTTTTCAATGTGTCATCGCCTCTCCTCCAGTTCTTAATATCCTGATAACTTTTTATTTTATGACTGTTTGTCATGTTCATTTAACCATGTTTGTCTCAGGCAATTAATATCAGCTTGTGACACAAGGGTATTTAACAGTGCTAACAATTCATCATGGTGTTTACGTTACGATCCTACTTTCAAATGGAATTTTTTAAACAACTTATGAAAATGAATTGAGGTTTTGGCTACGGAATTGTTTTGTTAATGGTTGCTATTGTTTTCCGAAGCAGATTTCGTTCATCGAGTTTTGCAGATTCATTCCTCCTTCGTAGAGTCCTCTTACACAAGGCGTTGACTATCAAGTCTTTTCATTTTGCTCTCACGAAAAAAATTAAATCCATTCGTTCGCAGGTGGAGAGGGAGCACTGGCTTAAGACAGATAGTTTTCCTGATTTGCTCAAGTTTGAATAATTTGAAGTGTTTCTGCGAGAGTTTTGTTTTCCATTTATCTCGGAGAGAAAGATTGCAAGTTTTTTTTTTGAGAATTATTGATAAAGGTCACGAAGCGACCAGTATGCGCTGTGTCCTATTTCCTAGCTTGACACCTACTGTTTGTGATTTAGAGGGCGGGGGGGGGGGGGTTGCGGACGATTCGTCACCAACTAAAGGTTCCTCCATTCGGTATTTTTGTGACATCTATTTTCGGCCGATCAACCCTAAAATCTTTCTTAAGACGCCTTCATCCTCCAGTATGTACTAACTTTGAGGGAGAGCGCGCGCCGAAAAGAAAAAGTTTCCAAAAATGCCTTGAAACGACATTTTTGACCTTTTTTTTCAAAAACTTGCTTTCAGCGCAGACAATTCTTGACACGCCCCCTGTTTATAGACATAGACTTCGAGTATCGTTTTAAATTATTTCGTCTAGGTCGTTTTTTCAGGAAAGGTTTGAAATCAAAATTTGTCAATTAGATTTTGTATGTACACTAACCCACTCAGTTTGAACATCATTCTCTGAAGAGTTTCACAATTCACCAAAATGTGGCTGGAGATAATTTCCAAAATTTTTAGATCATTCTCCTGCAAATAATAACAAACGATCTAAAATATAACGTTGATGCTTAGATAATTTGCAGTCAGGTTTATCCTGATAAGTTATACACGATTGTTGTACTTTCTCCGATTGTTTTTCTATCCACAATTGTACTACTTTTAACTTTAAACTAAAAGTACTTTCTCAATTGCAAAAGAAAGCGTTTTTCACAATGTTTGCTTAGTTCTAAATTCTTCTGGATAGCTTTCAAAAGTGGATCGTAGTGTGTTACTACGGACAAACTTTTTTCTTCTTTCCATCCTGAGTCACAAATAAAAGTGCCCATTTTGTGGCTTTTTTGGTGTACTTCCAATCATAGGAAATTTAATAGCATCTGTTGCTGCTTTCTTGGCGACTAGAGTTAGCTTACTTTCGAGCACCCTGGCGTAGATGCAAGGACGTGAGACTACTAATCTACAGGTTGGAGATTAAATCCAGAACATTGAGAATTTAATAGCAACTGTAGCTGCTTTATTGGTAGCTAGTGTAAGTAGTTTTTCTAGTGATTGTATCGCAGATGCGAGGACTCGAGACTCCTTGTCACTACATCGGAAGATCGATTGCCGCCCATAGCAAAAGTTTTATTTTTCAAGGCTTTTTTTTAAATGATTTAACTTTACCCCTTTTTAGACTACTTTTTAGCGTTTTTCCGCTTGTGTTTGCGAAGTACAGCTTCGCCTCTGTGTTCATGGAAACTCGTGGCCCTCTCCGGTGATGATTCGAGAAAAATACTTAACAAAATATAAACAAGATTAGCCGGTTACTGTGCAAATAGCACAATGTTCCGACTATAGTCTTAAAAAATTAATTTATTTTTCAAACTAGGGTAATTTTTTTCTCTGTGGTGTGATAGTAAGATCTGAGCAAAAAAAGAAATGAGGAATATTTGACAGTCGTAGTCAAATAGGCCAATTAAAAATCATTTTTAATTTAAGCCACTGATTCGACGTGTAAACAACGGTAGCCGGTTACTGTGTAAATAGCACAGAATATTCCGACCATAGTCTGAAAAAAATATAGTTTTTTTTTGTTTTCATTTTAGGATCGTTTTTTTTCTGTGTGGTGTCATAGTAAGATCTGAACAAAAAATTAGAAATGAGGTATATTCGAAAATCATAGTCAAATAGATTTACTGGAAAACAACTTCTGTACCACTAGATAATCGAAAAAAAAATACAATTTAAGAAATTTTCCGTGTTTTTTTTTCGAGTTTGAGCTTTTTGATTCCCAAATGGCGCTCAAAGTTTCAAAAACTAACTGAACTCGAGTAAAACTAAGTTTTCACGGCTTAAATTAAGATTAAGTAAGCTATTGTAAGCCTACAGACCTTATTTTGACAAACCTCATTGGCTCGAAATTAGACCAAAAATCAAAAATATCAAACAGTTTTTTCTTGACACAGAAAAGTTTCTTAATGGCATTCGAATCACGACTGGTAAAGCTTTAACATGATATATAACTCGACCCATTCCGATGATTATTTGTGGTACCTGATTTTGCGTGGAAACAAAAAACTAAAACACACCCGAATACAGAGTTCTTCCATATTTTTCAAATGGTCGGAACAACAACCAGAATTTTGATGTCCGGATTTTTTTTACTTGATTTTGAAATTGTTTGTTTGGTTTTGCGGTAGCTTTTCTTTTTTTACGAGAAATGAGATAGTTAAAACAAGGTTTAGCTCAAAAAGAAAAATGATTTGATAGAAGGTGATAAAAGTTGGTAGATGCCATCTGTGCTTCTGAGGCGAACTGCTGAAAGAAATTTTTGTTTCAGATTTGAGCTTTGATTTTTAACTATGTCTGGTTTCGACGAGGGTGCCATTTTCTACAGCAGTGCTCTGGGCATGGATGATGCGAGTGTGCACGGAGACAATAGGGCTGACTTCAAGAAGAGGTTCCGAGAGTTTCTCAGGACTTACCACGAGACTTACTCATTTGATCACAAATACAGGTAAGGGGCTTCACCTTGTTATCCGCTCTTATTGAAAGTAAGAGTCTTATCAGTGAAAATTTTTTGGAAAATCAAAACTTGAGTGCTTTACTTACAAGAAATACAATGCTGAGATCGCGGAAGCAAGACAAGTAATATCTGAGAACTAAAATTCGTCCGACTCAGATTTTTGGTATTTTCAAAATAACTAAAGTGAAAATACCCTACATTTAAGAGAATGATTTTCATTTAGACTCAATGGATTGTTGGTAAACATTGATTGCGCTTCATTATTGACCTAGATATTTTCTCCTATATAAAACAGGTTTTCAGTTTCTTTGCTGTTGTAGGGATGCGTTGAAGAGGAACTACAACCTGAAGAACTACTTCTTGGAGGTGAATCTGGAAGACTTCAACTTGATAGACACGGAGCTGCACGACAAACTGAAGAACCAGCCGGCCGAATATATTCAAGTTGTAAGGGAGGATTATAGTTAAACATGAACAGAAGGCTATCTGTACTTGGCTCATGGATGTTTCAAAATCATGTGGTAGCAATGAAACCAAAAATCTTCAAAAAAAACTTCGTTTGAACTTGCCATACATCAAATGGTCACCATGAGATAATTTTATGAGTACTGTGTGTTGTGTGTGTAGTTTGAGGAGGCTGCGCGTGAGGTTGCGGACGAGATCACACGGCCACGTCCGGAGGGAGAGGAGGAGATCCAGGACATCCAGATCATGCTCAACCCCACTGAAGAGTGCACCCCTCTCAGAAGTCTTAAGGTAATTTGAATTTAGGCTGGCGATAAAAAAAAGTTTAAGCGTTTCAATATGTCAAAACACTGTTTCAAAAAATGAACGCTTGAAGGATATTGAAAACAGTGGAGAAATAGGAGGTCTTTTTTGCGAAGTATTGGTCATAAGAAATCTCTGTGGCTAATCTAATATTGTTTGCATCCCTTTTTGTATCATGTACACTGCATCCCTTTTTGTTTGAGTTTACTACTGTTCCGATCTACTGAATGTTTTTGATATCTTTTTAGTCCGATTTCGTGTCAAAACTTGTCACTATCTCTGGTATAGTGGTAGCTGCCAGTGGCATCCGAGTGAAGGCGCAGCGGGTGACTATCCAGTGCAGGTCTTGTCGCAACTCAGTCCCAGACATACCCATCAAGCCTGGATTCGACGGGTATCTCTTGCCTAGGAAATGTAACGGAGTTGGGTGAGCTATTTTTAAAATGCGCTTATTTGAAACCATAACTTAAAGTTCAACTTTTTGAAATTATTTGAAGCAGTCCTTGCTTACATCCATAAGAACAGTTGGCATTTGTTGCAACCTGTTACGGGTTTTGCATTTGAGCTCGGTCTTTAACATACTGGATTCCTTGTTCTTCTGCCAACACTAGTGGGCCAATGACCTACGTTATCTTGCCGTTATCAATCACACGCTCGTATCATCGAACGTTCTGCGGGGCACCCGCATTTGACGAATGACTGTGAATTGTACCATTAAGCAGCTCTAGAATTGCATAATCTTTTGGCCAGAAATGTTTCTTCGGATTAATTTTTGAATGGCTATCAGTTTTATACTGCGGCCAAAAATTGAAGCAGCAACTTTGGCACAATGAGTCGATGCGAAACGGAAACAAGTATGGAGTTCAACGTATCGCATATGCAAATTACACATGCGAGTGTTGTTGAATAGTACGAGTTTTTTTCTAACTTAACTAGCAAATGTTAGTGCCACTTTTGGTGGCACCTTTTAGGCTTTCTGATAGCATGTGCTTTGACATTCGATTAGTAATAAAATAACACAGTTGATACATTTTTAATTCATCAAATGAACCAAAAAAAGCTAGTAGTTTCAAACAACAAAAATACTAAAACTGAATTACAGAAACTCGCAACTTTTTTGAAATGCATTATTTATACAATTGTTCCGACTTTTGAAGAAAGTGACAGAATATTTGTGCTCGGATGGTTTTTTTTTTCTCCAGAAAAAATTCGAATTTTTCACTAGCCATTTTTGATAGATATTTTTTTATATCAGCTGAAAGTCAATGCTGTCCTGAGCTCAATTTTAAAAAGACATTTTTCGTATGGGGTTAGAAGATTGCCAATTTGGGATAATTAACGCGCGATATATCTCGTGCTATCAACGCGTAAGCGGAGATTTAGTCTGTCTTAGAAATCGTTCTAAATTGAAGTGAGGCATGCTATTGGGTCTATGTAATACTTTGCTATAAGCTGAATGGGGACCGATCGTTTAGCATACCAATCTTTTAGCATAAAAAATGAAAAATGAGTCTTTTAGCAGACCAACGTAATAAAATGATGGATGATTGATTGACAGACTCAAAAAGACGCTCAGTCTGGGGCCAAGGTTCCCCAATTAAGTCAATTGTCTCACGATTTGTCAACAAAACTATCAACTTCAAACACAACAGTCTAAATTAGCAGCAAAACAAAGTTTTACGCGCACAATAACACTCGTGTTGAATTGAAGCGCAGCCGAGCACTGGTTGCTAATCGCCAACGCCCCGTTTGAAGTTAGCTATCACTTTTTATAATTGTTCTGAGGCTGCTATAAAACCGGTCTGCTAAAATCCCTAGACCCACGCTGAATATATCATTTTATTCTTTACATAGCATGTGGGGGAATGATTTTCACACAAAAAAAATCCTTTTTTTAAAGCGAACAATACTCCATAGACCTTAAAGGGCAGTCGGAAAGATAAAGTAAAAATTTTGCAACTACTAATGATTTTTCAATGCTATGCATCAAAAGTCGGAAAGTAAAAGTAAGATTTATGCATCTGCTAATAAAGTTCCAATGCTATGCATTAAAAATATTTTGAAATGCATAATGAAGTGTATTTTATGCTTTCGAATTTATTACATGCGGTGACTTTTTTACATGCAGTTTTTGTGGGTGACTTAAGTTTTTTATATTCACAATTATTACCCGCAAAATTTGTCTATTTATATTTGGTGCGACTTTTGATGCATAGCATTAGAATTTTTTTTAGCAGATAGTTGCTTTTTATTATTGGCTAGTGTTCGTAATTTTTCAAGGGACCGTGACGAAGATGCGAGGACGTGCGACTACAAATCCCGGTCGTAGGTTTGAATCCGCCGCAGTAAAAGTTTCAATTTTCAAGGCTAATTTTTACGTTTTATTTTACTTTTTTTTTGATACTTTTAGTCGTTTCTTCGCTTTGCTTCGCCTCTGTGTTTATTGTGCAATACGAAGGGACTCGCACTACGCTCCCTAAAAGCATGTTGTGAGCATTCATTTCGAACTTCAAAAGTCTTGTGAAATAATCTATCTGAGAGTCAAGATATTCTTTTTTGTATCACTATTTCACGCGGAAAAGTCACGCTTTTTTCTTAGGTCTGTAAAACATCCTTTGGTCTTAGTTGTCTTCAACTAGTAGTTATCAGTTTAAGCTTTCATGTTTACCTTTACCGTCTTTTTTCTAAATCAGTTGGAGTCCTTATGATGGAGGGACCGAATGATGGAAAGCCAATCAGAATTGATTCTTCTACAATCTGAACGAAATTGCAAATATCTCATATAAAACATAATAGTTAATAGCATTAATTGCAATATTGACAGAGCACAAATTTAGCAGATAATGCAATCGGGCTGATACGTGTTGCTAACTTGCCAGAGACACTAACTGTGTATGAAAACGCCCGGCGGTCATCGCCGCGGAGCGCCGACGCGAGCATACTACATTCATCGGTAGGCCATCATGAAATTTTTTCATGCAGTCTCTCATTTTTTTTGTTTTTCTGCAAAAAGCGTTCAGCAAATAGGAACTTGTTACGGTTTGCTACGATTCTGATCGGCTGAAAGTTCTCCATCATTCGGTCTCTCCATCATGAAAAAAGCCACCATTCTAACCAAATAGCGCAAGGCAATTCGCATGATAGAAAGACTAATTTTCAACCAATCAGAATTGTCCAAAACCTACGTTTTTTTGGTCGGTAAATTTGTGCCGAAATCAAATTTTGTGAGTTACAACTATCTCCCAATAATTTTTAATTAACAGCTCTGACTTGGAACGGGCGGGCACCCAACAGGTGTCATTCTGGGTTGCAGTTTAAAAAGAAGACTTGTCATAAAGTTGACAGTTGATAAACCATCAGAATCGAGATAAGAAAACAAACGTACATGAACATTATTTAGTACGTTTGTTTTCCCATCTTGATTCTGATTGGCTGACGCGTCTACTTTTGACCGCACTTTATCGTTCCAATAGCTTTTTTCGTTAATTTTATAATCTGCTAATTTTAATTTTGTTTTCCTGAATTCTATTTTGCGATTTCTTTGAGATTTTTGAACCTTCGGTTTTGCTTGGATTGTTATAATTTTCCAGCATTCGGATTTTCCATTGTTAGATTTGAAATTGGCGCGATTCGAAATAGGCTCAGCTTAAAGTTTTTCTCTTTTCGCCAGCTCATGACGCGACTGTATGCAAGCGTTATTTTTCCGACTTTCGTAACGAAAGTAGCGGAAGGTTTGTGCTCGGGTGGGTTTTTTTTCTTCAGACAAATTTCGACTTTTTAACTAGCCATTTGACGAAATTTTTTCAAAAGGTATTGTCCTGACCTTAATTTGAAAAGATATTTCACCTGTGATCATTTTTCGTAAAGTTATGGAGGTTTTAAGATTGCCATTTTGACCAATTTGGGACAATTAACGCGCGATATATTTCGCGCTATTAACGCGTAAGCGGATATTTAATCCGTCTTCGAAATCGTTCCAAATTGGTTGGAAGCAAAAAATCTCAGATTTAAAAAAATATATATTTATTTTTTAACATTTAATTTTTTCATGTGATTACTGCTCCATAGACCTTAAAAGGCAGTGGGAACATTCAGGGCTTCGCCCTGATACGAGCAGTCTTGTTCAATCTTTGTTGTCAGCTTCATGTTAAAGAGATACAAGTCATCATCTATAATTTTAGAACCTTCTTGATCTCGATGTCTTCTTTTTGCAATGAACCTTTACAGGCCATTTATAATGATCCACCGTTTAAGCATTATATGTACTTCATTTAGATTCATTGTGTTTCATTTCCAGAGACCAGCCGGGTCAGCCGCCCTGTGGCCTGGACCCCTTCTTCATCATGCCAGACAAGTGCAAGTGTGTGGATGTGCAGACCCTCAAACTGCAGGAGTCTTCGGAGGATGTGCCCAATGGGGAACTGCCGAGACACACACAACTGTACTGTGACAGATACTTGTGTGAGAAGGTGGCCCCCGGAAATAAAGTCACGCTGACCGGCATATATTCCATCAGGTTAAAATTTGATAAGCTTCTGACAGTGTGGCGTGTAATTATGTCACAACTTGTTTTTTTTTAGGGTCAGACACTTTTGACGTTTTTTCAACTATTTGACTGAAAAACTTAGTTATCCGCTTGGATCTACTTAATAATATCCACATCTTTCAAGAAAGGAGTGATCGTTAAGTAGATCAAAGTGGTCGGTTTTCGGCCAATCAGAATGCATCAAAATTCTAATTCTCAATCGAATGCTCAGCGCTAATTTACTGTATTTATTTATAGGGGTGGAGATTCTTAAGTAGGTGCCATAAGGGGATCTAACTAAGTAGATCCATCCGCTTCTTTTTATATGGTTTGTTGTATCTCATTAATAAGTCTAGTAGTAGTTGAAGTTGGATGCTACATACCAAAATAGTAGATAGCTAAGATACTCGTGTTTCCATTTTGTAATTTTTATTTTCTGTCATGAGTGCATTTCAAAAATATTTAAGTATCAGAATTACACTGTCTCAATCTCAAGTGAATATTGATTTTAGACAACTGATGCAAGGAAAGAAAGCGAATGACAACGTGGCCGCAGCGGGGATTCGAACGCCCTACATCCGAGTTGTAGGTATCAGAGTAGAGAGTGAGAGTCGTGCAGTGAACACGCCTGTTACTCCGGAAGACGAAGAGAAGTTCCGACAGTTCGCGGCCAGGCCGGATTGTTATGAAGTGATTGCAAGGAGCATTGCACCTTCCATTTTTGGAAGCATTGGTATGTGGTAATTTATGACCTGCGTTTGAGTTTTTCATGTTGGTAAATTATCTATAAATATTCTAGAACTTGCATGAGTTTTTCTCATTTATACACATCTTTGACTGATTAATCAAATAATGAAAACTTGATGGTTTTTAATTTTTTTCTCTTGTTTTCAGTTTTTTTAAATTAAATTAGATGAAATAATTACTTTGCTTAGACATCAAGAAGTCTATTGCATGTCTGCTGTTCGGTGGAAGTCGTAAACGTCACCCGGACGGTCTGATCAGAAGAGGTGACATCAACCTGCTTCTTCTGGGCGACCCGGGTACAGCCAAGTCGCAACTTCTCAAATTTGTCGAACGAGTATCACCCGTCGGTGTGTACACTTCGGGAAAGGGGTCCTCGGCAGCTGGTCTGACAGCGTCTGTGGTACGTGATTCATGTTTCTTAGAGTTTGCTCCTTTGGGTAACAAAATAAGAAGGTTGTTGAGAGTAAATTATATTAAAAAATCAAGGATCGAGGCTCAGTGTAGAGAGTATGTATTGCTTAACATATTCAAAATAAAATATAGATACTGAGTTGCTGTTTCTCTTTCTGTTACAATATAAAACTGAACTAAATTGGAAGTTCTTATGAGTAGTTTTAAGCAGTATATTATCTTCTTCTGGTCGCTCAGAACCATAGCTAATGCTCCAAGAAAAGGAATTCATAATCACTAAATTCGTACTTGCTAACAAACTGTTATCATCATAGGTTCGAGACGCAGGGAGGAACTTTGTACTGGAGGGTGGAGCTATGGTGTTGGCGGATGGGGGAGTGGTGTGTATTGACGAGTTCGACAAGATGAGAGAGGATGACAGAGTGGCTATTCATGAGGCCATGGAGCAACAGACGATCTCAATTGCTAAGGTATGAAACATCTGTTAGCACGCAATACATAAACTCTGCATGAATATGTGATGGTTTCTGTTCAATAATTGATTGCTATCTACAATGGGCCCAAGAAATTGTTTATGTTGAGCTTCTTATAGATTTTTTGCTGACAAAGTTTTTAGTTTTGATTTGAAACGTTCAAATTTTCATATCGAAACACCAAACAAAGTTTTTAGTTTTGATTTGAAACGTTCAATTTTTCATATCGAAACACCCCCATCCGCCAACACCATAGCTCCACCCTCCAGTACAAAGTTCCTCCCTGCGTCTCGAACCTATGATGATAACAGTTTGTTAGCAAGTAGGAATTGAGTGATTATGAATTCCTTTTCTTTGAGCATTTTATGGCTTTGAACGCCATACAGAAAGTTCTGCTATTGGTTTTCAGATGTCTAAAGCAAACGCAAACTATTCTGACGTTTTTTAAGGCGGGAATCACGACTACCCTCAACACGCGATGCTCAGTGCTGGCAGCGGCCAACTCAGTGTACGGTAGATGGGACGACTCAAAAGGAGACGACAACATCGACTTCATGCCCACAATCCTCTCCCGATTCGACATGATCTACATTGTAAAGGACGAACATGACTTCCAAAAGGACACGACACTGGCTAAACACGTGATCAGTGTGCACATGAATGCAGCAAACGCACTGAAGGAGAAAGAGGTTGAGGGGGAGATCAGTTTGGGCTTCCTGAAGAAGTACATCGCATACTGCAGATCGTAAGTTGTCAAACAGTGCAAACTCGTAGGCGAATTGCAAACAGCGCAGAGGAAGCTTGAAGTTGACTATCAGGTTCTAACTAGACTACTCGTATCAGGGCGAAGCACTGAATGTTCCAACTGCCCTTCAAGGTGTCTGACTCAGTCTAAGGAAAGAAAAAACTGAATTTTTTGGGTCGGATAAAACTGCCTCCGTTGATACGCGTCCGGAAAAAATGGGAAATTTTGTGCACATAAATTAATCCATATTGTCAATTTTAAACCCCTATAGCCATAAAAAACAAAAGATTCTTTAATTTTGACCTCAGGGTATCAATGCTTTCCAGATGCTAAAATTTCCTTTAAATTTTGTGGTTGAATAGTCGGAAACAACGACACAAATAACCACAAACGTGTAGCTTTTGGCCGTTTAACAGAACAGATCATAATTCTGCTATTGAATTTATTGTTATGATGTAATTTTTGTAGGCGATGTGGTCCTCGTATCTCAGCCGAGGCTGCATCTAAACTGCGCAACAGATATGTTCTAATGCGCAGTGGATCAAAACAACATGAGCAAGAAACCATGAAGCGGATGTCCATCCCAATCACAGTGAGACAGCTGGAGGCAGTGATTAGAATCAGTGAGAGTCTGGCCAAGATGAGACTACTCCCGTTTGCTAGTGAGCAGAATGTAGATGAGGCTCTGAGGTTGTTCCAGGTGTCGACACTCGAGGCTGCCATGTCTGGATCCCTTGCAGGTGCGAAATCAAAATCAATCACATTACTGATTAAGATGAACATCGCTTGGTATTCAAAATTGTAATGCTCGAAGGTCTGCGTAATATACCCTAACCATAAATTACGATGGCAATATACTCCTAAGATGCTGCATTGAAAATTATGTTTTGATCAATCGTAATCGTTTGTAAATTTGTTATATGGCTAATACAACTTCAAATCTTTAGCTTGTTTTGTACACGAATGCGTGCGTTGGCTGTATTGTTTTCAGAAATTGCGAATTCTTTAGCTGAGATGAAATACGTTAAAAAAACTGGGGAATGCGTAAAATTATTATATAAACAATAGAATCTACTTTAGGAGCTGAGGGCTTCACCACGTTGGAGCAACAAGACGTGTTGAACAGAATAGAGAAGCAGATCAAAAAGCGCTTCCCCATCGGCGCCCAGATCTCAGAGCACGCCATCGTGAACGATTTCGTCAAGCAGAAGTTCCAGGAGAGAACTGTCCAGAAGGTCATTCACGCCATGATTCGGAGGGGCGAGTTGCAACACCGGTTGCAGAGGAAAGTGTTGTACCGGCTGAGATAAACAAAAGTAGTAATAGTGAACTCTTTTTTGGTCGCTATCAACGTATTGATCTATCTGAACTTTGATCTTTTGACTTCATAAAAATTCTCCAAAAATGCTATTGATTTTTAAATGATAATTTTGAGTAGCATTTCTGAAATTAAAGCGTTAAAAATTTGTTAAAAATGAATCGGAATTGCTGCTTTTTACTCTCGCGACTAGCTTTTGTGATGCCGTGGTTTTTGCTGCGTCAATTGATTTGAAAGTGCAATACGTGAACTAGGATCGTTTTAACTTATTCTTTGTAATATTTGCTCTTGAGCTTTTGGTGCCCTTGTTTATGCTTGATGAACTATGTTATGTGAAATAACTAATTTAAATGTGCAATGCTTCTTTTTTTAGTGAAAAGAAAATCAGGAGACGAGACTTAAATTTAATGTTTTTTTAAATTCTTTGAAAATTTAAACAAAACTTTAATAAACCATAATATCTTGTAAGCTGAAAGGATTTGAGCTGTTAGATTTTGAGGCACAGGGTTGCTAATTTGAAATTTTTCTGCTAATTAGTGTTCAGGTACAGATAGATTGGTAAACAGGAAATCTTAAAATAGTTCTGATCATTACGAAATACGATTTAGCTTGACATGCAAAGTTTCATTCAAATAACATGCAAAAATACCTTCACAAAGCCCTAACTTAGTAAGATACGTGACAGACCTGCTTAAATATTTAGCAGATATGATAAAATACTAATTAGCTGCTTTATTATCTCCGCAACGATACTTGATTTTTTCCAACATATGGGATGAAATCAGTTGATGACAACAAAAACTGATTTTAGATGGAGAAATTGGACACTACATACATGCAAGAAAGTACGATGCGAGATAATTTTGCTACAAATCAAATGACAACAAAACTACAAATGGATATCAAAAATTCCAATAAGTGTACAAAATAGAACCTAATTTTTTTTAAGGTAATGAGACTTTTTTTTAGCAGTTTCAAGCTTTAATTTTTTGCTAGATTGTTCAATTTTTTTTATTGAGAATCGAAGAACGTAGTTAAGCCTCTTATATAGAACGTGATCATTTCTGTCTTTGAAATTATAAACGCTCAAATTTGGTTTTCGCTGCTTATCTTCTGATTTTAACGGTTGAGTTCACTGCATCTTAATTGTTTGAAGGAAGGCAAACTCCACTATCAAACAGCAAAAATTTAAAGATCACGGAAAACGTGATCGATTTCTTGTTCCGAAAGTGGACTTTAATTTTCAGACACAAAAAGTTATCGCCAAAAAGTTATGGTACAAAAAGTTCTAGCACAAAAATCATGACACAAAAAGTAAGGTGCCCTGGGAATAGTCAAATGTTTGATTTACTGACCATTTTTGAAACTTTTCTCAAAAACACTCTCAAAGATGAGATTTTGACTTGATAGGAGAAAATTGGCTTTGTGAAGCTCCTCTCCTTTAGCGGCCGATCCCAAATTCAAAGAGCTTAAAGGCCATTTTTTTCTTTACAATCAAGAAAGTCGAAATTTTTCAAAACAACTAATTTTTTTTCTGTTTTTTATCTCATAGGCTAAAAAGTTTTTGTTGTCAGGTTTTCAGCCCAGAGACCAAACTCTGAAACCAAACTTCTCAGCAGTCCACCGCAATGTTCGAATTTCAAAAATGTGCTATATGATGTATAAATAAAAATTGCTAGAATCGGTAAAAATCTAAAATCTTTTCTAGCCACGTCGATGTGCGAAATAGCATTAAAAACGCAAAAATAATGTGTTGAGAAAGCTCTAAGATAGTGAGATACGTGATAGACGCACTTAAAAATATAATAGTTATGGCAAAATCATTGTTCTCCAGGCTCTGTTATCATCCTCAGTCCCGATACTTGATTTTGTTCAAACATGAGAATCTGTTTAACTGATTTTAGATTTTGGAAAAACTGGAACTACCCATATGCAGCAAATAATGGAGCTGTTTTTGCTCCGAAGTCAAATAGCATTTCAAAAAAAAACACAAACTTATTTTTTAGTGGTTTAAGTCGTGCAAGTTATGCAATTTTTCCCAACTTAATTTTTTTAAGGCTCTTACAGTGTTTGAATTTATTTAAGAGTTTTCGGATAAAAGTGATAAGTGGACAAAAACAATAAGAATTAAGAATAAATTAGTCGAAAGCTCAAAAAATTTTTGAACTTCGAGAGCAAGCGTCTTATAATCGCGAACCAGATTTTTTTCCTTCTAAACAATTTTTCTTACAAAAAATTGAACTTGCCCTATTATTGAATCTTAACAACTTCTTTTTTCCTCCCCAACTGGCCTGGAGATAACGCGGACACTTTCTTGCCCGTAGGTCTGGGATTGGAGTCTCGGTAAAAAGTTTTTTGAAGTTGTATGTATTAGGTTTTTTTTTCGGATAAAATTGAATTGCCGGACCTTCGTTTGTCTGCTCAAGTTTTGTCGGATCGGGTTCGTCAGCCTGGACTTTTATTTTGCTGTAGCAAGGATTATATTGCAAATGATTATGTTGCAAATGATTTCAAAGGTGACTCAAAATTTGTGTGAGTGTTTTAGAAAATCAATACCTTTTCGGCTCACATGGTGTCTCCTCAAAGATTGTCGGCTGTGTTTTTGCTTCGTAACTTTTGTTCTGTTGCTTATATAAAATTCAAATATTTCGGTTGGCATATTTGCCTAAAATTCTTGTTTGATAAAAGCAAGTTTTTCGAAAATGTATGTAATTGGGTTTTTTATTGTTTTTTTGAGAAGCTTCTGAAATATGTTTCAACTTTTTCAAACATTTAACTTTTTCTGAAAAAAACCTTTTTTCGTTTTTTTTTCATAAATTAATCTCCCAAAATTGATATTTTGGCTTTAATGGGTTGTGTGAAGCTCCACCTCGTAAGCGGCTACGCCCTTTCTTAACAAAACGTTATGGCCCTGGAATAGTCAAATATTTGATTTATTGACCTTTTTTGAAACTTTTCTCAAAAACACTCTCTCAAATTTGAGATTTTGGCTTGAATGGAGAAAATTGGCTGTTGGAAGTTCCTCTTCTTTAGCGGCCGATCCCAAATTTTTCAACATAAAAAATTATCGCCCTCTGAAAATTCAAATTTTTGATTTTTTGACGTTTTGTGAAACTTTTTGAGTTTTCTCAAAAATTCCCCTTACAAATCTGACACTGTGTTCAATAAAAAAGGTTATGCAAACAGCTCCCCGATATGTTCGGCTAGCCCAATTTTTTCCAACAAAAATCTGTAGCTTTAAGAATAGACAATTAAAAAAGTTTCACCGTTTTTTAAACTTCAGTTTTTCTCGAGAACTATCCTTCTAAATCTGGGAGTTTTGGCTTCATGGAAATGACAGTTTGTGTGCATCTCTTCTGCATAAATGACTACGCTCAATTGTTTTGACAAAAAGATCCTGGTCTCCGAAAAGTCAATTTTTTGGTGGCAGAGTAAAAACTTATCAAATTGAGGGTGAAAGGGATCGAACAAATCGTTTGAGAGTTAGTGAAAAGTTTTTCTTAGATTACAAAACCCAGAGCTAAGAACAGCAGAGTACCAATCTCAACCGGTTGTATAGAGTAGTAATAATAACTTTTTGGCTTGTTTATGATAAGAGTAGCTTCGCTCCATGCAAAATCTCCTTTTCATTTCGTGACATAATTGCTACACTTCTCAATTAGTTCCTATAGCGCTCTAGTTATATAAGAGCTTCCTTTAGAGCTTCCCTTAGAGGATGCCAAAACTGAGCGTATGATTTGATAGTTGGCTGCAAAAATTTCGATCGTCAATTATGTCATGCTTATTGACAAGCATAAGTTTTGATTTTTAAAATTAAGCTTGAAATTGGTCGAATAACTGTTCGCTGAAAAAATACAACGTTTTTCAGCTTATTTTTAAATTGAAACAAAATAGATATCCAAAAGTCGGTGACTTTTGCTGGTGCTGTTACAAGACCATGAAACGCAGTATATAAAGATGAGTTACTGGTGCGAATCCGTTTCGGTTTCATGACCTATTCGCTCAAACGAGACGTAGCAGCTTGAATACCTAAAGCTGTAGTTGTGCCATAATAGGGACAGAAACAAAAGACTAACAATGGTTTCGTTCTCTCGAAATTTAAGGAAACTGGAGCTTCTGCTGTGGAAAAATTGGATAATCGAGAAACGACGGGTAAGTCAAATGAAATTTAAGCTTCATTTGAAGAGTAATAGAATACAACGTAACGAATTTTTCTGGCTTTCAAAAACTGGAAAAATTATGATTGTGCTGATGAAACAAACCGTCTTGAGAGAAATGTTTTGCAACCTAATCCTAATGCATATTCCGACAGTTTCATATTAAGAAACCCCTTATTTAAAAAAGTTTATACAATTCTAGAACAAATCAATTTTTTTTCAGCCTTTCGTTCTGCTTTTCGAGTTTCTTCTACCCGTTCTTGTGCCATCAATATTAGTAATCGTGCGAACCACCGAAGAAGTGGTCGAGTACCCGAACCCAACGTACTACTCGGCACTACCTCTTTCGTCTCGATTTGGAAACGGCAGTTCAGAGTCGACGTTCAATTGTCCTAACTTCCGATTAGCATACGCTCCTAGCGGTGATCCTGTTATTGAGCAGTACATACAAGGCGTCATTGAAAAGCTGCCTTGTATTTTGAATAATTCACTTCCTTATGAAAGCGAAAATGCTTTAGAATACGATCTATCATTGGACGGAAAATCTATGGACTCGGTTCTTTGTGGAGTTGTTTTCAAAGAAGCTTCAGATTCAAAAACGGATTATAAAATCAGGTTCCCATATAAATTACGGGTATCCGAGGACTCGGAAGACTGGGTCACTGAATTGCTATATCCGGACTCCTCTAACGGACCTCGGAACCCCTCTTTGTTTGTGCAGGACTTTAGGATCTCTGACGTCTTTCCAGATTACCGGACTCTTTACCCAGACGATAAGGAGACAATACCTGTTGAGGACTATGGCGGATTACCTAGTTATTATTTAGAAGGGTTTCTTTTTATCCAGTCAGCATTGGATCTAGTTATAATGCAGAGTCTTAACGTTCCCGATGCTGAAAATCTCGACATTCGAGTACAAAGATTCCCATTTCCGCCTTACTTGAAAGACGATTTTGTTTCAACTCTTGAGCAATTTCTAGGAAATTTATTTCTACTTTCTTTTGTTTTCATTACGTTCAACATTGTTAAAAATGTAGTCAGCGAGAAAGAAAAAAGACTGAAAGAGTCTATGAGGATAATGGGACTGGAGAATTACCTGCACTGGATGGCATGGGTTATACAGTACTCGTTTTTCACCCTCATTATTGTTTCATTGACAACCCTGTTCCTCTGCATTGATATGAGTACGGAAAAGGTCAGTAGAATGAAAAAGATAAACAAAACCCTTACCCCCCACCGCCACCCACACACACACACACACACACACACACACACACACACACACACAAATCGCGGCCATATTCAGTACACATAAGTTTATTGGTGTAAGCTGCAGTCTGAGAAGGTGCCACGACTTGCATTTGACTAATCAATTTTGAGCTATTGATTTTTCTTTGATCTTGTCTTTTTCACAATACATGTACTGATCTTGGAATTTACATGGGCTATGTTTACCTTTGTGATAAGTGTGCTACAACCGGGTGCTAGACTTTTTTTCTAATGAATTTTTTTTAGTTCACACACTTCCCACGTCAGAAGGTAACGTGTTTCGTCTTGCCTTATTACACTTGCGAACTTAAGTAGGCGTTAGTGTTATACTACGACTATTCTTATTTTTCTAACCTAAGTCGCAAATATTGCTGCCATTTTTGAGTCACCTTCACAGCTTTTTGATGGCATGTGCCTTGAAATTCGAATAATAATAATAAAATAACACAGTTGATATTTTTTAAATTCATCAAATGAACCGAAAAAAAACCGTTTGTTTCAGACAACATAACAATCATAAAAACTCGACTTCAGAAATTTTTTAACCAATGTATCTCGCAAGTTTTTGAAATGCATAGCATAGTTTATACATGGTGGCTTTATGATTTCCAATTTATTACATGCCGAATTAGTGTGGATGCCTTCAGTTTGTTATATTCCAAATAAGTTTACTAGCAAAATTGTGTCTATTTCTTTGTGATGCCACTTTTGCTGCATAGCATTGGCAATTTGTTAGCGTATGTAGCTGCTTCATTTGTGACTAGTGTTAGCCCGTACTAAACGTTCGTGGTCAAGAGGGCAGGGTGTGAGACTCCAATTGTCCAGAGCGCAATTTTGAAGCCCATCCCTAGCAAAGTTTTACTAATTTGTGGCTTATTTCTATCTTTTCATGTTTCACTTTATTAAGTTGCTTTTTGTCGTGTTCTCGTTAGTGTTTGCGAAGCGCAGCGTCGCCTCTGTGTAAAAATTTTGAATTTCGAGGCTGAAGGGACCTGTATTTCTTGCAAGCTGGTAATTTTCTGCTTTATAAAAGTGAGTTTTATTATAAGTTATTGTGTCTGCTGATTTTTGTCAACTTAGTTCTCGTTACATGCATTTTATTTGAAGGTTCGGCAATTTTTCAGCAATTTGATTTGAAAGTTCAGCAATCTTAGTGGTGAAGCTTAAATAAATTTAAGATGTTGGAAAAAATTTTTAACAGAAATTTGCCAGCATATGTTAGCATACATTTTTAACAGAATAACTTGGATCCCTGGTATCTGGGTTCACAATGAATTCAAACTTCGATACGTGTCCGGCACTTAGCCTGGAGGTGGAGACGGTTAAGGTCTTTGGTTCGAAGCTGACCAGGAACTGTTTTTTTTTCAAACTGAAAGTATTGCTTTCCAAAAAAATGTTAAGTCTTTTTTTATTAAGAGTCGATGAAAGTAGTTCAGAATCTTATATAGATCGCAAATTTTTTTTTGTTTTCCGGAAAAATTTTGATGTTTTTTATAAGGCTCAATTTTTTTGCGGTTTAACTTTTGATTTCTTTTTTAAGTTCATTTCATTTCCTTTGCCAAAAGGAAGGCAAACTCCACTATCGAACAGCGAAAGTGTAAAGTTCACGAAAAACGTGATCGACCTCCTGTTTGGAAAATGGAATTTAACTTTCAGATTTCCCAGCGAAATATAAAATTTACTTATTGATCCAATTTTGTCAAATTGGTTTAATTTTATCGAAAAATGGCCAATCATAAAATTTTCTATAAATTCAAAAATGCTTTAAAGGCATCTATATTTTTGAAATTCGAAAATATGCTTTTTCTTTCTAATTGCTTTCATTGATTCTTTTCCAACTGTATTTTGGCTCTATATCCTAATTTTTGGCTTTTTACAATGATAATCTTGTTGTCGGATTATTGGCTCTTCGGCTTGTTGGCCTGCCATCAGAGCACACCAAAGGCCTTAGTCCAATTTCGGCTGTTGAAAATGAATAAATCGGAAAAAATGGAAGGAGACTATTATTTTAACCAGGTGTTGCCCTCGGCGGACTGGTCGGTGGTGTTTGTGTTTGTGCTACTGTATGGCCTGTCCTCCATGTCCCTCTGCTTCCTCCTCACCACCCTCTTCTCCCGTGCCAATGTCGCCTCCGTCATCGCCACCCTCATCTGGTTCATCACCTTCCTCCCATTTCTCATACTCTACAACAGGTTGGCTAGCAAAAACATTTTTGAAACTTTGAAGGTCGTTTTTATAACAGAATAAATGCTGGGTCTTTTCTGTTGTACGACCCATAAGCTTCATAAGCCCATAAGCTTGTTATAGGGATTCAATTTTTTTATTGAATATTCAGATTTTGTTTCACTGAAACTAATTTGAACCAAAACTAATTTAAACCAATCAGATTTTCGAGCATTATGGTTCAATGATTAAAGTTTGAAAAAGATCAGTTTTGGGCCTTATAACAGAAAAGACCCTAAATGCTTGTTGCATCGCGTCAGGTTGAGAAACCATTCTTAAAACAGCTAGTTCCTCAAACAACGCATCTTGTTTTGAATCAAGATATCCAATGCGATTTTGTAATCGCGGCTCTTGATTGGCAACACTCATGAAATTGGAAACCCTCATGAAGTTGGCAACAGGATTGGCAACAGTCCTCATCCAGTACAACAGATTAGCCGGAGGAGCTTTCAAAATTTTAGTGTCGCTAAATTTTACTATAGTGGAGATTGTCTTATAGCTGCATATTTTAATAGACCTATGAACATTTTCATCATGCGTGGGTAATAATTATGCCTTTACTCCGTAGCTATGAAACACCGCTCCATTACTGATATCCATTTTTTAGGCCTTCATTTTTGCATATAATTGAGCTGCGAGTTTTTTTGGGGGGTACATAGTGAAAGGTGGACTCAACCCTCTTTCCAAACCACCTCAGGATTTCGACTAGGGGCTGATTTTGGGTGGGGGGGGGGGGGGTGCGATCGCCCCCCTCCTCAGGGATTCGACCCTCTGCCGACCCAAAGGGTCCCCACTTTGTACTATTCTGAGATATGCCTTTCTGGCTGATGGACCCTAAAAATTTTTTACAGGCACTTTCGGCGCTAGTTTATACTATTTTTGAGGGGAAAGCGCGCGCCAAAAAAACGCGATGTTTTGGTCAAAATTTGCCAAAAAGTGCCGAAAACGCTTTTTTTGGCCTGTTTTTCAAATTTTTGCCTGCGGAAGAGAAAATTTTTGCCAAAACAGGGTCTTTTTATTGCTTTGGGAGAGCTCGGAAAATCAATTTGGTCGATCTAAAAGAAGTACAAAAAATTTTCGAAAATTTTTTGAAAATCCGCCCCCCTCGAGAAAATCCTAAATTCACCCCTGGGTTCGACCAACTGACAAAAAAACTAGAGACCCTTTGGTACTTGTTTACGTCATCCAGTTTTGGCCAGCCGGAGGAGGAGCGCGAGCCGAAAAAAAAACGCAGTTTCTTGGTCAAAACTTTCTTAAAAAATGCCCTAGAATGGCATTTTGTCCTACTATTCAAAAATTTGCCCTCGATGCACAAAATTTTGTGGCAAACTAGTGTCTTTATATTGTTTTGGAAGAGCTCGGCAAACCAATTTGGTTGACTGAAAAAAATTGACAAAACTTTTGAAGTTTTTTTTGAAATTTGCTCCCAAAAAAATCTTATGTCAGCCCGACCTATGGTGTGCCAAGCATCTTGAACTGACACTGAAATATGCATAAAATGATTTAAACGATTCTAAGGAAATTTAAGATTTAGAAATTTAGATTTAGGGTAGGCGCTCAGTGGGAATTTATTATTCCCTTTGCCTGTCCTCTCCTTATAATGTGAAAGCCATTGTTTATTGATTTGTTTAAATTATTTATTTGTTTAAATTGTAAAAGAAATAGCTATTAAACGATGGTCTGCTATATTATTATTTGGAGAAATAAATTCTTCTTCAGAAAGCGTTGGAAGCTTTGTGACGCCATTGATATGATAATGTTTGCATTTTTCTAAAACCTTTTAGCGCGTCTTGGAAGCATCGTGGCTACTGAAGCAAAGTTAATTATTTCGTTTAGCTACGATGACTTGACTCTACCGATCAAGCTTGTGCCCTGTCTCCTCTGCAACACTGCCATGGGACTCGGATCCTACCTCATTGGTGATTTAGAAGTCAGCGGAGTCGGTGCCAAATGGAGCAACATCGCGGATCCAATCAACATGGAAGACGATCTTACACTTCTTATGATTTTCGGAATGCTCATTCTAGATATTTTCCTTTACGGAACCCTAACTTGGTATGTAGAAGCAGTATTTCCAGGAGAGTTCGGATATCCGCAACCAATCTACTTTTTCCTCCAGAAGTCTTACTGGTTTGGATCTGATCAAGATGATGAAGGTTCTGCTAAAGCTACATCATACGAACCTGATTGTGACACAGAATTTATAGAGGAAGAAGACGAAGCAATTCCAAAAGGAATCGAAATCATCGGGCTTCGGAAAGAGTTCAAGGACAAAGTTGCAGTCAACAATTTGTCCTTAAACCTGTACCACGAGCAGATAACAGTTCTTCTAGGTCACAACGGGGCTGGTAAAAGCACAACTATGTCCATGTTGACAGGTCTTTTTCCGCCTACTAGAGGCAATGCTATTGTAAATGGGTTCAAATTAAAAGGTCAGTTGAGCAAAGTTCGCGAGAGTCTAGGACTGTGTCCGCAGCATGATGTTTTATTTGATCAGTTGACAGTCGATGAACATCTGACGTTCTTCGGATTGCTTAAGGGAGCAAAAGAAAGAGATTTGAAGTTCGAGATTATGAATATTCTAGAAGCTTTGCAACTGCCTGATAAACGTTACTCGACGTCCAGGACTTTATCAGGTAGGAATCAGTAGCGAAATTAGGGGGGAGGGCGGGGGGGGGCGGGCGTCCGCTCTCCCCCCCCCCCCCCTCCCTCAGGGATTCGACCCTCTGCCGACCCTAAGGGTCCCCCTTTGTCCCCCTTTGTACCATAAAGTTTTTATAAAGGCGCCTTTGGCGCCAATCTATACTTATTTTGAGGGGGGAGCGCGCGCCGAAAAAACGCGATTTTTTGGTCGAAATTTTCCAAAAAGGTGCCTAAGAACGCATTTTTTTGGCCTTTTTTCAATTATTTGCCTGCGGCGCAGAATTTTTTTTTGTCAAATTAGGGTCTTTAGGAGAGCTCAGAAAATCAATTTGGTCGACGAAAAAAAGATCGACAAAATTTTCAAAATTGTTTTGAAAATCCACCCCCCCCCCCCCCGCCTGCTGAGAATACAACAGTTATTTGATGTAAAATTGACAATTTGACACAAAAAGTTTGACATAATTGTTTGATAAAGAAGGAAATGTTTCATTTTTCGCTCATGATTTATTTTCAGAAAAGCATTGAGATCATTAGAAACTTAATGTTGCAGGTGGAATGAAGCGGAAACTGTCGGTAGCCATAGCTCTGATTGGTAACTCCAAAGTAGTCATACTTGACGAGCCCACTTCCGGTATGGACCCGGCAGCCAGGAGACTCACCTGGGATGTTCTTCTACAGGTAGGACCAATTTATTTGCTGAAGAGCTATTTATGAATGAACGCTATCCAATTTGCATTGGGTGCAAGTTGTTGCTAGCCTTTTATTTGAGATGTTTGCAAAAAATGGATAAGTGTTTCAAAATGGAACTTATCGTCTATGCAGTGGCGTGCACAGAAATTTTACTAGGGGGGGGGGGGGCGTTTTTTCAAAAAGTTTTGAAATTTTTGTTGACTTTTTTATAAGTCGACCAATTTGATTTTCCGATCTCTCCGAGCTTGAGGTTTATCACCGAAAACTTGGTGTTATAAAATTTTGCCAAAGGGGAGACCCTTTGGAAAATTTTGGCAACCAGAATTGTGGGGGGGGGGGGTGGCGGTCGCCCTTTCTTTCTCCTCCCTCGGCACGCTACAGCGTCTATGGTATTTATTGAAGTACTAGGGATCCAAGCAGTTTTTCAAATGTAGGCTAAGACATATTTTTTAGACTGCTATATCGCTTTTATCTCACCCTGAGCTATCTATATTTTTTATATTTTGTTCTTATAGTCCAAAACTGACCGCACAATAATGCTGACTACCCACTTCATGGACGAGGCAGATGTGTTGGGGGACAGGATAGCCATCATGGCCGAGGGAAAACTGCAATGCGTTGGATCCTCTCTCTTCCTCAAGAGGAAATACGGCGTGGGATATCAACTAACTGTAGTCACCGTAAGTAATTCTCAATCATCAGAGTAGAATCCTCTTTTTATGTCTTCATGGCTAAGTAACGCCATTTGTCCACACATTAAATGGACTTAGATGAGAACTGATTAGCTTCTTATGATGAACTGCTGTTGACTTTTTGATGAACGCCAATAACTGTGGATTGGGTAGAGGTGGTTTATGTTCAGGCGATGCGATCGATCCTAGTTTATTTTAAACCTGCAAGTTCATTTAATCTTAAACCGGCCAGCAGGTGGTTCATCTACTATAAGCTCCGGTAGCTTTCCGGATTAGGGAGACCAAAGTCTTCAATTTTCGTTGCTAAATTTTTGCAGAGGGCTACTTTTGCTATGTCCTATAATACAACATCCGTTTTCGGCCTATTAAACTAATTTTTAGTAAAAGCATATTTGGATCAAAAATGCACCATAACGCCATCAGAAACACTTTTTTTGCACGCCACTTGTGGTCTCTGATAAGCCATTTGCTAGAAAATCTATAAATCTTTGCAGATGACCAGTGGTGTCTGCAGATAAACAAAGTCGGAGAAAACAATGAGCGGGTTGATTTCACAGACTAGCTTAGTACTTCTCCAGTTTTGTATCAGAAAAGTATCAGTGCTGTAACAAACTCTGGCTAAAGCTAGAGTTTGAAATAAAGCAGTTATATGAGTGCTCGACCAGCCGCAAAATCTAATAGCCGAAAAGTTGAATTACGGCAAACACTGATTGACGCGCAGTATACTCCTCGTGCCGAAAATTAGCACAGCGGAAAGAAGCGGAGCAAGCGGTCGCTACTTTCCAATACTGCGTGAATTTGGTGTTTTAGCCCTATTTCATCATTGGTAAATTTTTTTGAACTCTAAACGCTAAGCTTAAATGTACATGAAACTAGTTGGAATTTTTGACATTTTATTTATATACCGTTTTATTTATTGCCCCTGAGGTGTATTTCCAATAATTTACCAGTAGTGTTCCAGTCTGATTTCAAATTGATTGACCAGAACAGATCCTGCATCAATGATTACGCTTGCAATTAGCAAGCACTATCAAAGCGGAAAATAGAATTTTTTGGGTTGACAACTAGTTTAATAAAATCAGTTGAATCACTTATGATGCTGCTATGCTGGTGACGTGCTCAAAATCATGAAAATTCAAATTTAACTACGGTACTAGTTACTACTCATGCTATATCTAGAACACAAACTATTGTATGTATAATTATAGAATTTCGATACTGATTTTCTAATGATGGTTTTTCGGCTTCATGATTGTCGACTGACTTAAGCTCTGTCGGTTTAGCTTCTAAATTATGTAGTCTACTTTGCATACATTATTTATGTAGCTATCGTGTAACCTATGTGGGCGTTACATAAAAAATTTTTCTATATGTTTTTTGACGAAAATTTTTGGCTTAGTTTTCTGCTTATTGGATGTCGATTTCAGTTCTGCCGTTTTGTGTACCGAATCTTTTCAGTATTTGAGCGTCGGCTCGTCTGATAAGTTTGATTCAATTTTGAAAACGGCCAGTGGGCTACGAAAATAAGTAATCAAGTTGATTTTTTGATAATTTTCAGTATATTTTTTGCATTGTAGTAAATATCTCAACGTAATTCAAATTGCTTCATGGGCTATATTGCTGATTTAAATTCTCCGGACAAAACAAGAAATTGAACTTGAAATTTAAAACCCGTTTTTCTCAAATTGAAATGACTAATATTGTTTTTATAATAATATAATAATAATATATCAGCAAAATTAATAATTTAGCAATTAATTGCTATAATTTGTTTTGCGAAATTCGTGCCCAAAGTGTTACCCAAAAATGGATCATTTTTGGCTTTTTTTGTCAATCAAAAATCACGCTATAACTACCCGAACGATTGCAGACAAAATTATATCAACTTAAGCCTCCTAAATAGCCCAACAAACTTAAAGAAAGAAATTGCGCAAAATGTTTAAAAAGGTTTTTAAATAACAAAAAGTGTTTTATGTAGTAAAAACGACTAATTGACAAATTTTTAAAAATCTTTCTATAAGTTGTTGGTGTTTAAAATTGCGATTTGCTACATACGCTTTAATAACATTTCGATAATATTGAGTGTTAAGGTATGTTAATTAATTATGAAGCCATATTTAAGAAAGAGATTGGGTCCAGTTAAGATTCTGAGAATCGAGGCAGTCTAAAAATGACTGAAGCTGGAAAGATAAAACTTTGAAATGTTTAAGGGTCCAAGTTTTGAAGTCTCAACCCTGGAAAGTGAAGTGCAGAAAAACGTGCCCGGATCTTTTATCGAACGTCAAGTTGGGAACGAACTGTTGTTCACGCTTCCTTCTGAGCTTGTTTCGAACTTCTACGGCCTTTTCCAACAGATGGAACAGAACCAAGATCGATTCGGGATTGAATCATACGGCATTTCAGTCACAACAATCGAAGAAGTGTTTCTAAGAGTTGGGAAACTTTTGGAAGAAGATGAAATAAATGAAAACAATTTCAAAAGAGTCGCGAGTACTGCGTCGTATAGTGCAGGTTTAGACGAACTTGGAGATCTTGAAAATACTTCGAAAAAAGATGGGGCTGAAATTAACTTCGAATACAATGAATCAGCTCAAAAGTACTCGTCTAAGATGTCCCTCTGGTATCAACAGTTTCAAGCTACAGTAGTGAAGCGTGTTATACATTCGATGCGGAACAAAAAAGTGGCGATTGCTCAACTTCTTATACCAGCTTTATGCACAAGTTTTGCACTTCTGGTCACTAAAATTGCAGATGATGACTTAGATTCGCCTGAACGAAAAATGCTTTTAAGTGAGTATGATTCACCGTTCACACTATTCGCCGGAAACGCTTTGGATCAAACTTCTGGTTCTTTGATAGCTGCCTATGGCCAAATTGTAAATGACCAAAGTAACAAGGGATCTCGAGTAACGTTTGTCAATACGTCGACTATTGAAGACGAAATAGTCATTTTAGCCGAACAAAACTTGGCGAGATACAATAACCGAATGATGGTGGCAGCTGAATTTTACGACACGATAACAGTTTGGTATAACAACGTAGCATATCATACCGCGTCCCTTTCTCTCAATTTGATCTCAAACGCCATTCTTCTGGCTTCGGATGCTGCTCATACCATTTCTGTATCGAACCACCCACTACCTCAAACCATTGATGATTCCGCCGAAAACTTATCAGATGTGGACGCCGTTTGGCAAGGTTTTAATGTTGGCTTCAATATTTCGTTTGGATTTGCATTTTTAGTGGCCAGTTTTGTAATATTTCCGGTTAAAGAACGAGCTACTAAGTCGAAACATTTACAGTACGTGTCCGGATTACAACCAGCGATTTTCTGGCTTTCGGCGTTTTTCTGGGACGTTCTAAATTTTCTAGCATCAGTTGCGGTGCTGATGTTGCTGTTTGCAGCTTTTCAAGTGGACGCTTATTCTGGTTCTCGATTGCTATTTTTACTGCTAATATTCTGTGGGTACAGCATTGCAGCTTTGCCAATGATGTACAGCATTGCGTTTTTCTTCGAAGATTCAGTTTCGGCTTTTGTTCGGTGTACGACTCTGAATATAGTTTTATCAGTCGGGACTTTGATCACAATATCAATTCTAGACAACGACAAAAGTATCACCAACACACTTGATTGGACATTTGTGGTTCTGATTCCGCAGTATGCTATTCCAATAACGATGCTGGATCTTTATCGCAATTATGAGGCTCATAAGTTTTGCGATGATTTCGGCGGTCTCTCGGATGAACAATGTGAACTGGTTTTCCCGAACGACTTCGAGGCAAGTTACTTCTCGTGGGAACGGCCCGGAGTTGGTAGATATCCGGTTTTCTACATCATTCATAGCATATTTTGGTGGACAGTTCTTATTTGTGTCGAATCAAATATAGTTCAAAGCTTCAAAAACCTGTTTTCAACTTCGCGAAAAGTACCAAAATCAAAGAAAGCTGAGGAAATTTTTGCAGATCAATCGGAAAGCACTCAATTTGCCAAAGACGATAAACTTCAAAATTATGAAGCAAGTTCTAATTCAGAACCTTCTGAAGGTTTAGACATTGACGTTCAAAATGAAATTAACCTTGTCAAAAATAGTATCGAAGATTTAAAACAATCTTCAACTTTGTTAGTCGAAGGCCTGAACAAAAGTTACATCACGTCTGATTTTTTATTCAGCGACGCTCTTGTAACACACGCGGTTAAAGACATATACCTATCCGTTCCAGCAGCCGAATGTTTCGGCTTACTGGGAATCAACGGTGCCGGGAAAACTACAACCTTCAAAATGCTCACTGGAGATATTAGAATGACTAGTGGAACTGCGTATATAAAAGGTGTGGATATATCTAGGAGGATTAAAGATGCGCAACAAATGATGGGTTACTGTCCTCAGTTCGATGCTCTGATTGATCAGATGACAGGACGAGAGACACTTCGCATGTATGGCAGACTTCGTGGTAAGATATTTCGGACCAAGTTAACATCCTCCCACTTTCAGAAGCAACTTAGTGTCGAGAAATTTTCGCTGTGTCGAGAAAAACATGTTTTGTTTTTGATTCTTGGTCCCATTTTTGATTTTTGGTCAGATAAAAGTCCTATTAGTATCTTAAGAACTTCAAGAACTCCGAAAGAAGTTTATTACAAAAAGTCACAATGTCAAGAATGTTTTTGCTATTCATCCTCAAATTTAGCTTCATTTCACTTCGGAAAAATATAAATTTTTTATTTATAAAAATTGCATTGAAAATTGTAGTGTCGGAGTAATCTTATTCCCTCATTCTTTTATAGGAATGGTTGTTCGTATAATTAAAGAGATGCCTTATTTGTAGGTTTGAAGCCTGACTGCATCGAATGCTGTGTGTCTGAGTTGGTGTCCCTTCTGGGCCTGACTCCCTACGCGGACAAGATGGCAGTCGAGTACAGTGGGGGCAATAGGAGGAAGCTGAGTGCTGCCATTGCCATGATTGGTCTGCCTCCTCTTGTATTCCTGGACGAGCCAACGACAGGTTTGTGCTCATGATAAACAAAAATAATGATGATGCGATTTTTTTCCGAGTTGGGGCAAATAAATCAAACATATTGTTCAAATAACTGAAAAATAAGAGTAACGGGGTCGGTTAGTTTTCCCAGAGTTTGTCTTTAAATGATTTGAATGAAAAGTCTTAACTTTTAAAATTTCGGGTAAAAAATAAATGATGTAGTTGGAAACGAGAAGCAAGCGCAAAGTCCGCGTTTTCTTCATAACAAGATCATGAATAACATTTTGCCATTATAGTCACTACCAATTGATAGTCCTCGATAGTTAAAAACCGCACTGCGTTGGAGCTATAATTGTTTCATTTACTAGGCTGAGCGCCATAGTTGTAATGAACCCGAAACGTATGAATAGAAAAAGTATTCTAAAGCTGGATAAGTTAAAAATGTGTGTATTTGTTCAAATTCCACAGGAATGGACCCTGCAGCCAGACGTTCCCTGTGGAAGGTGCTGCTACATCTGGTCAGAGTATGCTCCCTGTCAATCATTCTCACCTCCCACTCGATGGAGGAGTGCGAGTACCTCTGCTCCCGTCTGGCCATCATGGTCAACGGACAGTTCAAGTGCTTAGGATCACCTCAGCACCTCAAAACCAGGTACTCGAAACTCAGTCGGCTCTTATCATTATCGGTTTAAACTCATGTTAGTCCAAGAGGGAAAACCCGCCATGAACATATGCCTCTTACAGTTCATCTCATATAATGGCAATTGGTTCTTGTCTTCTTAGTTGTGGAAAAAAGTGCGTATTTTTGTGTTTTTTAACTGGCAAAGTTTTCTTCGCGCGCTACATAGATTAATGTCTTAAATTTCAATAAAATTTTTTAAAAAAACGAGAAAAAAACGAAAAAAAAAAACACTAACAAGACCTAGTTTTTGCAAACTTTCAATACACACTACAATTTCTCAGCAGTCAACATACACAAAATATCGATTTTAGGTTCGGACAAGGGTTCACCCTGGTCGCAAAATTGCAGTACGATCCCTCAAACGAGAACAAACAAAGATTTCACCAGTTCATCGACCAGACATTTCCAGATAGCATTCTGAAAGACGAACACCAAACTATGGTACAATACCAAGTGGTAACTCTTGATTTGAAGTGGTCGGAGATTTTCAAAACAATGGAGGATCACAAAGAGACGCTAAACATTGTGGACTACAGTGTCAGCCAGACAAGCTTAGAACAAGTTTTTCTCAACTTTGCTAGAAATCAGACACGATGAAGAATTAATAAATATTATTTGAAAAAATTGTTTCCCTCAAATAGCTAAATTAAATCTTTTGTCCATATATTTTATCCATAAACGTCCTATAAAATGTAAAACGGGAGAAAAGTTCTCTTATCAGGGGAAAGCCTTGAATGTTTCGACTGACTTTCAACTTCATCAAGTAGTTTTTACTATTAAAAATATAAAATAACAAGACTGCTCAGATCAGGGCAAAGCCCTGAATGTTCCGACTGCCTTTTTAGGTTTATCGAGCTGCAGTAACATAAAAAAATTAAATGTAATAAAAAAATGAAAAAACTTTTTTCTAAAAATTGAATTTTTTGTGAAATCATCCCCCACACGCCATATAAAGTATAAAAGAATAGACTTCGCTCATTGTAATAAAACAATTATAGCAAATAAGCTTCTCTCAACCAATTTGGAACGATTTCAAAGACGGATTAGGTGTCCGCTCACGCGTTAATAACGCGAAATATATCGCGCGTTAATAGTCCCAAATTCGCCAAAATGGCAATCTTTAAACCCCCATAACTTTACGAAAAATGATCACAGGTAAAAAAAAAATTCCAAATTTAAGCTCAGGACAACAATATCAATTGAATGATATTAAAAAAATTCCGTCAAAAATGGCTAGTTAAAAATCGAATTTTGTCTGAAGAAAAAAAAACCCACCTGAGCACAAATATTCCGTCACTTTCGTATCGAGAGTCGGAACAATAAGTTTTTAAATAGTCTTCCCATGCGCGCTATCTAAAATAGAAAATGATGTTTCTTGTTTACTACCCAAAAGACAAGAACACAAAGCTCACCCCAATTCAATTTTGAAAGATTTCTTAACCAGAGTAATTTAGTGCTAATATAAACTAATCAGCTTTTCGTTTGTAAGCTATACTGATTTAGAAAAATAAATTGAAAAAATTATTCGGTTTCTGCACAAAATGTACTGTAAAACTTGGCTGTATTTTGTTTAATTCATTTACTGCTAATTTTCACTCGCTAAAATCATCTAGCGAATCACACACACTATAAAAATCACACACACCATAACTGCTAACGGGAATTCTGTATATATGTTTCAGCAGTAATTTTTTGAACTACTTGTTGCAACACATTTTTGTTGAATTATTCCTATCATCAGTGCGAGTTCATTAACAATTTTTTGCCTGTTTTTGATGTCAGACCAAGTAACTCTTTCTGTTCTTTTATATGTAATTTTTGGTGGCAGAAAAACTAGGTAATGCGCATCAGTTTACCGAAGAACTAATTGCACTACTTTTTTGATATTGATTGAACTTATTTTTTTATATTGATTGCGAGGATGTTTTCACAGCAAGAACAGCTCTAATTTCAGTTCTGACATGCTGGATAGCTTATGTATTCGAATCAAAATTACTTAATTTTTGACCCCGCGGAATTCTTCCAAATAATTTAATTTAGCAGATGTCAAATTTTGAACACAATATGTTTTCAATAATTGCAGAGAAAAATTGTTAAATGACACATTGAACTTCTATGCCTCATGATTGTAATATCGCTTACAAAAATAAATTAATGATGCAGCAGGTTAGGTTTAGCTACAAGTAGAACAATTCACAGTACCTAATTCTAAGCAAAAAATGACAACTACTTTTTTTTATTTTTAAGTTTTGCTTCAATTTTGAGCAAAAACATTTTAGCGAATAAGAACGTCTAACGATTTTGTTTGGTTAATTATTTTTTCTTCAGTTAGTCCCTTTATCCTAAAAATAGCCCCTTAGAAGATCGGGGAGTCCAAAAGTTGAAAAAGTTTCAACCGATCGGAATACTTAGTTGTTCCTTTTAGCTAAATAGGTTCTCCACAAAATAAAATCAAAACTAGAAGGAATAGCAATAAGCAGTTCTGCCAAATTTCACTGTAGAATTTGCTTTTCAGTTCAAAATAGTATTCGCTAAGTAATAAGTTTTTCCATTGCGCTTTAGATCTGGCATCATTCAACATTTCATTCATCTGCTTATTTACAAGAGAAAACTTAGCGACAACTGAATGTTTTAAGACAATTTAACCACGGAAAGAACCAATATGCGAGCTGTTCAGCTCAGTATGGTAAATTGCTGTTGCGTCCGTTTTCAGAATTACATGCATAGAGCTTTCGTCATATTCTTTGGCTTTTGGGCTGGCTAGTAATGCCTCACCCGCAAGAAACGAGAGCGGATCATGATGGGCCTCGAACTTCTGACCTTCCGATTGATAGACCGAGATGTAACCACATAACCACAGCTCCCCATTGTTTGATGGGTTTGAGACAGGTCGAATATATCAAACGACCCTATCATTGCTCTGTCAGTACAGCTCCAACGCATGTTATGTTCACTCGAGTTTATCGATACCTCAGTCCATGTCACATGTCTACGTTTGTGACTATTTGAAACACTTATAAAAAATTGGGGTCTTTTGTCAAATAAAGCCAAAAATATGGTTAAAATGAGAAAAAATGCTGTCTAGGGGATAACAATAATCATCAAGTAAGGCTGCGCTGCGTACTGCCTTATTTTGTTAGCGAAGCTTATGAATCCGCAGCTTTGACAAATTGTATTTGTCACAACTTTTTTTGGGATTTGTCATTGATTCACGCTTGTCTTAGAGGGTCGGATGGCTCAACTAAGCCACCATTACCTTGCCAAACAAAATGGCGCTAAAACTTTTTTTTCGAAACAGCCCGCTAAAGAGGCTCAAAACATCGCTCACGGCCTCACAGTTTAGGAATGCAGCAAAAAAGCTCTCAAAACCTTGAAATCAGTTTGCTTGGCTCTTAATAAAGTCCAATGTGATCGAGTGACTGTAATAGCTCGGAAAACGCCACTTATTGCGTCTCGATTTGGGATGCAAGAGAATAGATAGAACTATAGTCGCTTTAAAGGTTTTTAACGTATATTAGTTAAAGGCCACGAAAGTTAAAAATGTCGAATTTTAAAGGAAAAAACTAAGCGAAATATTTTATTTCAACATGCACACTCATTCATTATGGTGACAAAAAATGTCCAACTTGTTTCTCTCGACTCTTAATACAGAAAAGATGCTTAATAGCCCTGTTGAGGTAGAAACACTCTAGCGTTTTAAGACGCAAACTGTTGAAAATCGCTGGTTCAGCCTCCATCAGCATCTGGGGTAAAAAAAATTTTGATTCTGCAGTTTTTTGTGCAAAAGTTTGCTCATTTTTTCACCTTACACCAGCAAAATTCACATAAAATGTATAACACTCTGTCTACTCCTTCTGCACCTAATCCGCTATCAGTTTTCACTCAAAAGGGTTTACTTTGTGTCCAAAATAATGAGGATGATTACAGTGCTGATTCAAATTATCGGGACAAAACGCATAGAACTTGAAACCTAAAACTCGTTTTTCTCAAAGTGGGTTGAGTTTAGGTGAAAAAAGATGAAACCAAAACTTGCTTAGAAGTTTAACAGAAATAACACGATGCAATTTGTGCTGCGAAAGTTGGGCCCAAAATTCTAACCCCAAACGGATCGTTTTTGGCCTTTTTAGTTAATCAAAAATTACGCCAAAACCACCGAATCAATAACTTTAAAAAATTACTTCAAAGTTAGTCTCATACATAGCCCAACAAAATTTAAGCACGGTATAACCGAAAAAAAAACGTTTAAAAATTCTTTTTAAACAAAAGTAAGTGCTTTAGTTTTTAAAAAGACATTTTTGAATATCAAACAAATTAGGTTAGTTTTTGCAATGTTTTGGAAATTATATCTTGTTATACAACTTTGTTGAGCTTCGTAAGAGGCTCATTTGGTTATATATTTATCAGTAATGATCCGGTGGTATGCGCGTAGTTTTTGATTACCTGAAAAAGTCATACACGAAAGTTTGGGTTCGAATGTTGCAGCACAAATTTCATCACATTTTTTGTTAAAATTTTAAACAAGTGTTGCCAGCATCATTTTTCTCCTAAAGTCGAATAGCTTGAAAGAAACGCGTTTTAAATTTCAAGTGTTATGCGTTTTGTCCGGATAATTTAAATCAACACTATAATAATCCTCATTATTTTGTACACGATTTATGCCTTTTCGATGCAAAACGATAGCAGATTGATTTTGTGTTATATAAAATCAGCTGGAGAAAAAAAACATAAACAAATTTTTGCTTCCACAAACTGTGGAATTGGGATTTTTTGCGCCCAGGTGCTGAAGATAGCGGTGCCAGAGGTTTTCATCAGCATGTGTCTCAAAAGGCTTGCGTTTGTTCCTACCTGAACGGGACTAGAAAACATCTTTCATATAATGAGATTTGCGGTAGGCGGCAAGGTGGAGGTTTATGTTCCGAAACTGGGGAGAAAATTTGTATTCGGGTGTGTTGTAGTTTTTTCTGCTTTTTTAAATATTTTTTTTTCTGTTTTCCACGCAAAGTCACGTGTGTTGAAAAAAACATGTTTAAATTTTTCGTATAACTTTCAGCTAGTAAACTTATGAATTTTTTGGATTTTTTATTTTTTTTTTAATCCTTTTTCTTCAGCCGAGTTTGCCTGTTTTACTATGTATTTTGCCCGCGATTTTTTTTATTCAGATCCTTTCATCACACCACGCAGAAAAAAGTTTGCTTGCACGTTGAAAAAGTGTGCATGGATGAGTGTGCATGATGAAACAAAAAACGTCGTTCGTTTTTCCCTTCAAATCTGCCATTTTTAACGTTTGTGACATTTAAAGAATACTTTAAAATGTTTTAAAGGTCAGTTTTTCTCAAAATCACACTTTCTGACCCGCAGAGGCAGCTCTATAGTTTCAAACGACAAGGATTTTTTTAACTTTCAATGAAAAGATAGGCGTGGTCAGAATATCTTTATTTAAATTGCGTTTAATTAGTTCACACGAAATCGAAGATCGGATACGATAGAATTTCAGTTTGGTATGGCAGCGCTGGACTTCAGGTCGCGTTTTACAGTTCAATCGTAATACCAAAAATTTCAACGTTGCTGAGATAGCTAATGAATTTTCCTTCATTGTAATGAACTGATTTTTACAGTTTTAAAACACATGTAAATCATAAAGACGCGATTATT